CCTGCTTCACTCTTCATGCTAAGGATTACTTTAGCTATTCTGAGTCTTTTATTTTTCCAGATGAATTTCATGATTGCTTGTTCTATTTCTATGAGGAATGCCATTGGGATTTTTATTGGAATTGCATTAAATCTGTATAGTGCTTTTGGTAGTATGGTCATTTTGATAATATTAATTTTGCCTATCCAAGAGCAAGGTAGATCTTTCCATCTTCTCAAGTCTTTTTTGATTTCTTGCTTTAGGATTCTGTAGTTTTCATTGTAGAGATCTTTCACCTCTTTTGTTGATTCCCAAATATCTTATTTTTTTTTGAGGTTATTGTAAATGGGATAGTTTTCCTCATTTCCTTCTCAGACTGGCTTATTTCACTTGGTATGATAGTCTCTAGTTCCATCCATATATGGGCAAATGACATAATTTCATCCTTCTTTATATCTGAATAACCCTCCATTGATTGTATATACACCAAATTATCTTTTATCCATTCATCTATTGAAAGGCATCTAGGTTGGCTCCCTAGCTTGGCTATTGTGAAATTGTGATGCTATAAACATTGATGTGGCTATACCACTGTAGTATGCTGATTTTAAACCTTGGATATATTTCAAGGAGTGGGACAGCTGGGTCATATGATGGTTCCATTCTTCGTTTTTTGAACAATCTCCATACTGCTTTCCAGAGTGGTTGCACTAATTTGCAGTCCCACCAACAATATGTAACTTTTTCCCCACATCCTCACCAATATTTATATTTGTTTTCCTAATAACTGCTATTCTGACTGGAGATGAAATTTCAGTGTAGTTCGATTTGCATTTCCCTWATTACTAGAGATGTTAAACATTTTTTTCATTTACTTGTGACCTTCTGTATTTCTTCTGTTGAGAACTGTTTAGTTCTTTTGTCCACTGATTAGGTTATTTGGAGGGTTTTGGTGTTTTTGAGCTCTTTCTATATCCTGAATATTAATGCCCTGAGGAACAGGTGGCAAAAATCTTCTCCCATTCTGTAAGCTCTCTTCACACTCATTTACTTTGCTGTGCAGAAGCTTTTAAATTTAATGCCATCCCAGTTACTGTTTTTTTATTTACTTTTTGTGCTTTAGGAGTCTTGTTATGAAAACTGGTTCCCGTGCTGGCATGCTGCAGTGTTGGGCCTACATTTTCTTCTAGCAATTGCAGGGTTTCTGGTCTAATTCCTAGGTCTTTATACACTTTGAGTTGAATTTTGTGCAGGGTGAGAGATGGGGGTCAAGTTTCATTCTTCTCTATATGGATTTCCAGTTTTCCCAAGACCATTTGTTAAAAAGGGTCTCTCTTCTCCAGCCTAGGTTTTTGGCACCTTTGTCTATTATCAGATAACCGTGCTATTATGGGTTTGTCTCTGTGTCTTCTATTTCATTGGTCTTCATACGGGTTTTTGTGCCAGTGCCAGGTTGGTTTTGTAGTATAATAGCTGTGTAGTATAATTTGAGGTGGTATTGTGATGCCTCCTGCTTTGCTCTTCTTGCTAAAGATTGCTTTGGCTATTCAAGGTCTCTTATTTTTTCAAATGAATTTCAGAATTTTCTAGTTCTATGAAGAATGTCACTTGAATTTTGATAGGCATAGCATTACAGATTATGTAATTTCTATTGTTCTATTCTTTTTTTTTTAAAGCATTCTTTTTTTTTTAAGAGAGGAGAGAGAGAGAGAGAATTTTTTAATATTTATTTTTTAGTTCTCGGCGGACACAACATCTTTGTTGGTATGTGATGCTGAGGATCGAACCCGGGCCGCACGCATACCAGGCAAGCGCGCTACCACTTGAGCCACATCCCCAGCCCCTATTGTTCTATTCTTACATTCATTGATTCATTCCTTTCTCCATTTTGTTTGAGAGCACTGAGTATTTTTACCGTATTTTTAAAGCTTTTTTATACTAAAATATACATAAAATTACCATTTTAACCATTTGAAAATATATAATTCAGTGGCATGAAGTATATTCAGTGTTGTGCATCCATCACTACTATCTACATTCAGAATTTTCAGCTTCCCCCCACAAAAAAACACTATTAAATAATAGATCTGTCTCTATGAAATTTGCCTATTCTAGATATATGTGGAATCAAATATTTGTCCTTTTGTGTCTGGCATATTTTACTTAGCATTTTTTCAAAGCTCACTCTTTGTAGCATATATCAGAATTTCATTTTCTTTTAAAGAGATGTGGTCTTACTATCCCAGGATGGCCTTTAACTCCAAGGCTCAAAAAAGCCTCCCATTTCAATCTCTTAAGTAGATGGTAATACAGGCACATGCCACTGAGTCCAGCTACACAATCTGTCATCCATTCATTTGTTGATGGACATTTAGGTTTTTTCTAATTTTTGGCTATTGTGAATAATACTGTTTTGAACATTTGTGTCTAAGTATCTACTTGAGCACCTGCTTTCAACTCTATAGAGTATATGCCTGGGTGCATATACCTAGGAATGGAATAGCTAGATGAATTACACGGTTATTCTATCTCTGATATTTTGCAAAACTACCAAACTGTATTCCAACCATCAACACAGCATTCCAGTTTCTCCATATCCTCACCAACATTGTTATTTTCTCTTATACTGATAATAGCCATCCTAATGACTATTAAATGATATCTTACTATGGTTTTGATTTGTATTTCCTTAATGGTTGGTGATGTTGATTATGTTTTCAAGTACTTACTAGCCATTTTTATGTCTGTTTAAGTCCTTTGCTTATTTTCTTCCTTTTGTTGGTGCTGGATTTTGAACTCAGGGCCTAGTATATTTCAGACAAGTGCTCTATCATTGAATTATACTCCCCAACCCTCTTGCCTATTTTTAAACTGGATTGTTTTATTTTGTTTTGATCGAATTATAGTTCTTTATATATTCTGGATATTGAGCCCTTATCAGATAAATTAAAACATTTTCTCTCTCTTTTTTTTTTTTTTTTTTTTGTGATGTAGGTGATTGAACCCAGGGCACTGCACATGTAGGTAAGCATTCTACCACTGAGATATATCCCCGTGCCTCCTGTTTTTTTGTTTGTTTGTTTTGTTGTTGTTGTTGTTGTTTTTACAACAGGGTTCTTGTTTGATCAGGAAATATAGAGAGTTTCCACAAACTCCCTTCTATCCCCCAAACAGTCTCCTCAATCATGTATATCTTGTATTAGTGTGGTAAACTTGATGAGCAAATGATACATTAACTAAGGTCCACAGTTTTATACTAGGGTTCACTCTTCGTATTGCACATTCTCTGGATTTTGAAAAATGTACAATGACATGTGTCCATTCTGATATATCATACAGAATAGCTTCACTGTCCTAAAAAGTCCAGTACACCACATACCTATTTGTCTCTCCCTCCCACCAAATCCCTGACAACCTTCAAGTGGGATCATATTTGTTTGTTGAAACACTTACATGATGAATGCCTTAAAAATCCTTGTCAGACGACTGTAACAAGTTGCATTTCAATGCTGGCTTCTCTTGTCTTTTCTCAACAGTTTTAATTCTTGTGATGACAAGTAAATTTCTTTATTGAGACCTGGTACTATCACTTTCTGAATTTTTTTATTTTCATAAGCTTCCTATAATTTTGCTCCTGCTAGGAAAGTGGGACACTGTCTCACTGCTGCTAGGTTGGGGTGGAACCACCAGACTGAGGAGTACAGGCTCCCTATTACTGAAGGCAGAGGTGGGAGTTCAGGTTCTCCACTAGACCTCTGCTATTACCACCAGAGCTAGGAAGAACAGAAGCGGTTTGTTACAGATCCTCACATGTCCTCCACTGACTTGATGGTGGTTGGCCCTGCTACTGCAGAGAAGTGGTAAGAGTTCCGACCCAGCAGGAGGCCTCCTTTGTCACCACCCTAGCAAGTAGAAGGGATACCTCTTACTACAAGATGGGAGTAGATGTCTTGGCTCCCTATGTGGTCTCCACTGACACCATGAGGCTGGGGCCTCCTTACTGCCTGGTGTGGATGGAAGTCCTTATTCCTCATTCAGCCTTCTTTGATACCATACTGGCTGGGGCTAGGAGGTGGGAAATGTGGTCCAAGGATGCACATTTGAGGTTCTTTGTTACAACCTAGCCAGGGTCAGAGTCTAGGCTCTCTACTTGGCCTTTGCAGGCGGGAACTGGGCTCTAGTTTTTTCTATGGTGTTTGGAATAAGCAGTTAATGATTAAAAACTGTCTGCTTTGTGGGGCTCTCCCACTCCTAGTTCTTTAGTTCAGGAGAGGTTTGTTTGTTTTATTCTGGGGGCGGGGGGGGGRGGGGGTCTGTTTTGGGTTACACTCATTGTCATGTCCAGTTGCCAGTTATTACAGCATTCTTTCTGGGATATATGGAGAAAAGGAAAATATGAGAACTCACTACATGTTATTCTTTGTGTCTTAAAATCCTAACCAGTCATCCTTCTTCTGTCTACTTTTCATTGTTCTTTTGTTTGTTTTATATATACTGTTCAGAGTTACCAGCTGTATTTAGTGAGAGGAATAGGAAAAGGTAAGTCTACTCTATCTTCACAGTAGTCCCTTTTAATAGCCTTTACTAACAGCTATATCATGTACAAGGCACAAAAACAGAAACAGTACTGAACTTGGAGTTCAGAGGACTGGGTTCAAATATCAACTAACTTGGAAGTTCAGAGTAATCCTAGCTGTCCGAATTCATAATTATTTAACCTCTTTGAACTTTACYTCCCATATCTGCAAAGAGAAATAACATCACCATTTCACAAGACTTGAAAAGATTAAGTGAGATTATGTACTTAAAAGCACCTGATACAACTCTTGGCATATAGTCTGCACTCAGTGGTTCTGACTCTATGCATGTCAAAATACTTAAGATAAAAAAGGAATTATCTGAGACCCATTAGATGTAAATAAGCTCTGAATTAGTAATTATTTATTCTCCATTTTCTTGTTTTAAAATAGGACCCCATCCCAAATAGRTTCAGAAAAATATACATGTAAACTAAAGGTAACCTGTAATTTCAGTGTAGAGATGAATCTATCTTGGTTTCTCACTTCTTGTTCTAGTTGGAGAGTATTCTGGTATTTTTCAGCTTCAGAAACTGGAGCCCCTAAACCAAAATGATGTTCTTTGGTGGTAACCTAGAGGAAAGAATGGGAAATAACACAGAGGCATTCATTTTCAAAAAACTGTGATTTCTCATGATTATCAATAAATTTTGAGAATTCATAACATTCTTTATTGGATGATTTTTTTTKGGGGGGGGGGGTTTACCGGGGATTGAACCCATGGCCTTGTGCATGCGAGGCGAGTATTCTACCAACTGAGCTATATCCTTAGCCCTAGATGATGTTTTAAATTGTTTTTAACTATGAGCCAGTGATCAAAAGAACAAGTTATTTTCTTAAACTTGCATTATAAAACATTATCTGTATGTTTTCTAAATATAAAACTATAAACTTGAACATGTTTTTCAAAGAAGAGATGCCCTATCTTCTCACTGTTCTAAGGAAATATGAGAAAGAAGCAAATGCAGCAGTCTACGTCTAGGCCTGTATAGGCACTAGCTACAAGTTTACTGTTGCTATTGTATATTAAGCAAAATGTTTGCTACCCTTTCATAAAAAACAAATTTCCCTAATATATACATAATTCCCTAATATATACATAATAAAAAAAGGAAGAAGAGATGCCCTAATACAAAAATTGGTAAAGACCATAGGCATTTACAGAAATGTTCCATCTTTACTGTACAAATTAGAACACAAAATAGTCACATTTATTCATTTAACCATTACCTTGGCAAAGATCAATAAATTGGATATATAATTCAGCATCCTAATAAATCAGTGGTGGTAGTATAAATTGATAGMGTATTTACTGAGAACAGTTGTGTAAATATCTACTAACATTACAAAAGTATATAGAACTTCTGTCCAAACAATTCCATTTCTAGGAGTTTAACCTACATATACATTTGCACATGTATAAAATGACAATGTTGAAGATTTTCGACTTTAGTATACTATACATAATCCTCCACATTGAGCTTTTTTTAATCTGATAACATACCTTAAAGATTGTGTTATTAAGGRAAATATTTTCTTTCCATGAATCAAGGATACCATTATGTAAAGAAAGTAAAAATTTACTATGAGCATCCTAGATCTTTCTTTCCAACACAGCTGCTGTTCTCCAAAATATCCCTTGGTGAATTATAGAATTAGAATCTCTCTATTGACTGGTCTTGTATTGCATCTTGTGCAACCTGGCACTTAATAAGCAAACTGTTGGATTTAATTTCCTTTTTTCCTTTCTCTAAATAAAATACAGATCTCCTTTTATGTCCATTTCAATAATTATTGCACCATCTGGAATGTCAGCATAAAATCTCAGAATATTTSAAATCATGAATCATTTAGTCTTTTATGGGCTAAATCAGAATCCTATCGTTTCTTACAAGTTTCTGTTGGGAAATGTATTTCTAGTTATAAACATTCAACTTAGGGTAATAAAATGATTTCTCACTTCAGCAAGACTGTTTAAATTTTAGTGAACATATGACTCACATGGGAATCTTGTTTAAATACAGACCCTTATATACAGTAGCCTGAGATTCTGCATTTGTAAAAAGCTGCCCTGTAGTCCCTATTTGGCTAGTAGGACATCTTGAATTGCAAGGATCTATTTAACTAAAGTCTAAGCCTGCCCAACATAATTTGTTCTCTTCCCACTTTTCCAAACTTATCTCCTACTTGGCACTTCCAAGAACCCCTCTAGTAAAGACAAAGTATTCTACACATCTTCTTACATACACTTATATGCATTTTTCTCCATTTAACTAGATACTTTTAATGCTTGTCTTCAATTTCATATTCTCCAGGTTTTTTCTATCTTATCCATTAAATAATTACATTTCATTGAGACTTCTGTCTTACTAATATAGAACAATTTATGTAGTTATTATTTTTTCTAGGTATGTCTTTCTCATACATTTATCAAAATCTTAAGAACAAGCAGTGTCCAAAAGTTGTGTCTCCATCAACACTGTTCTTTATAAAATAAGAAKGTGCCAGGCTCAGTGGAACACACCTATAATCCCAATGGCTCRGGAGGCTAAGGCAGGAGGATTGCAAGTTCAAAACCAGACTTAGCAATTTAGGGAGGCCCTAAGTAACTTAGTGAGACCCTGTCTCAAAATAAAAAAATAAAAAGGGCTGGGGATGTGGCTCAGTGGTTAAGCACCCCTGGGTTCAATCCCTAGTACCTAAATAAATAAGGTGTCAAAAAAATCTGTTGAGGTTGATACACAGTATGCAAAGCAGACAAAATTGAATTTTTCCTTCTCTTTGGTAAACTAGTCAAATAGAAATTCTACACAATTACCTATAAGGCTAGTCTAAGAATTAAAAACAGGAAGCAGCCACAAATCCACTGAACAATCAAGAGCAATCATGTTGGACTTGCTACTTACCACCCCCCACACTAGCTTTGGAGGCAATATGGCTGATGGGGAGAGAGATTATTGTACCTGAAATCCTCACACCTRGCCTGCCAGTTCCTACACCTTGAGACACCTGAGTATCTTACACATTCCAGTGACCTTTAACATCAATATCCATAAGAATAGAATGTGGTATTTCTGTACAGATCTCATATAGAGAATGCAAATGCAAAGTTTATTCTCCATTGGGAAGTAGCAAGCACGGTGATTAATTGCACATATTTTGCTATCAGACTGCCAATGTTCATAACCCTAATTCTGCACTTTCTTAGTTGCATGACACTGGGCACATTACTTCTCTAGCCATGGTTTCCTCATCTGATCACTAGGGGTGACAAAAAGAGTGCCTACCTCATAGAGTTATGTGAGGGTTAAATGAATTGGTATACATAAAGCTCTTCGAATAGTGCCTGGTTCATAATAAACACTATAAGTATTATTATTTACCATTATTATTATTATTAATTCCTCTTTATTTATCTAATCAGCCATCACATCCTTCTGATCTTTTCACAAAACTCAAATCACTGTTTTAGTTCATGCTATCCAATTGTAATAGTCACATTTATTCACTGATCAGACAAATTTTCAAATAGCTAAAATATGAAAAAAATCAATAATATTAGTGTATGGGGATAAAAAATGGAAAACAAATAAAAACCTACAATTTCAACCTTCAATTAGTCTAGGGAAGTCCAGGAAAAATAAATCAGAAATTTACAACACAGGCTGGGTGCAGTGGCGCAAGCCTGTGATCCCAGCAGCTTGAAAGATAGAGGCAGGAGGATTGAGAGTTCAAAGCCAGCCTTAGCAATGGCGAGGTACTAAGCAACTCAGTGAAATAGGGCTGGGGAAGTGGCTCAGTGGTTGGGTGCCCCCAACCTTCAATCCCCAGTACCAAGAAAAAAAAAATTAAATACAACATGATTGCTGCCACATCAAATTATTGCGTATGTATGCTAAAAGAAGACAGAGAAAAGAGCTACAAAAAAAGTGTTTCTGACTTACTGCCCCTCCCAACCAAAGACTTAGGATCTACTCTCCATTCCCCCCAAAACCATGAACATACCCCTAAGCACTGAACACGTGATATTGCTTTTACTGGATGTCCACACTGTGGCAACTTTAACAAGTCTAACATAGACCTCTTAAACCCTCACCTGTACCCCTGCTCTCTCAGCCATGCCTCCACTCCAGTCTTCTCTGTGTCAAATGGTACCATCACTTGTGCATGTACCCAAGGTCAAAAAGGAGTAGTCATTTTTAATTTCCCCAACACTCATGTACTCTATCAGCAAGTCCTGTTGGTCCCACCTCTAAAATATATCTTAAATCCACTCACTTCTGTACATTTTTATTACACCRCCTGAGTCCAAGTCGTCGTCATCTCCCACCTAGATTACTTCAAATTTTCTTCTGGTCTTTGCGCTGCTTCTATTACTCCCTACAGCTTATTCTCCATACTAAAATCAAATCAATCATTTTAAAATGACAAGATACCAGTTGAGGCTGTAGCTCAGTGATAAAATCTTGTCTAGCAGGCACAAGGCCCTGGATTAAATCTCCAAACTGTTTTAAAAAAAAAAAAAGAGTAAAATTAATACCATTTGAAAACACTCCAGTGGCTCCTACTGCAATAAAATCCAAAAAATAAAATCCAAACTTTTTATGGTCCTACATGATGTGGGCCCTGSCTTCACTTAAAAGACTTGGCACTCTCTTCTTTGTTCACCTGCTAGCTTTGTTTTCTTTCTGTTCCTCTAATGCACTGCTATACTGAATATTTGTTCCTCCTCAATTCTCATGTTGAAATCCTAACCCCCAAAATGGTTATATTAAGAGGTACCAGGGCTGAGAGTGTAGTTCAGCAGTAGAATACCTGCTTAACATGCCTGAGGACCGGAGTTCCATCCCCAACACCAAAACAAAAACCAGGGATGGGGGTGAGTGGTAGTATTTGGGAAGTATTAGGTCAAAATTAATTGCCCTTAAAAAAAAAAAAAAAAAAAAAGCCCCTAAGAACTCCTTTGCCTGTGCAAATGTCCTGAAAGTATCTATGAAACAGGAAATAGGCCCTCACCAAACATGAAATCTGCTAATACTATGATCTTGAATTTCCCAGCCTCCAGAACTGTGAGAATAAAAATTTCTGTTGTTCACAAGGTACCAGGTAGATAGTATTTTGTTAGAGCAGCCCAAATGAACCAAGTCAAGCCAATCTCATTTCTCTTCAAGACCTCTGCCCTTGCTTTTCCCATCAGGAATATTTTCTCCTCAGCCCTTTGCATAGTTGGTTCCTTTTCATCCTCAGCCCTTTGGCTTGAATACCACAGGGTCTTTCCTGCCTTCTCATCTAAAGTAGCTTCTTTCCCAGTCACTGTCTATTTAAGCAATTTGTGTTTATCACTACTTGAAATTACATTGTTTAATTATTCACATGTTTATTATCTGTCTTTCMCTATTATATACCATCCAAGACACTAGGTTCTTGTCACAAGTATATCTCCAATGCCTGATAAATGCCCACCACAAAGTTGCTTAGTAAAACATTTATTTTATAGTTTTCAAAATAATGAATTTTGATTATTTAAACAAAGTAGTTTCAGTGTCGGGGAAGAAGGGAAAAGTCTAAAGAGGACTAATGAATGAATGAGGAATAGAGAAGTGGAAAATGTAAACTTCTTTTAGGAAGCATAGTTGAAAAGAAGAAAAGTGAAAGTTGGAGGAAGACCAAGGTTACAGAAGGRCCATTATAAGAAGAGAAAAATATGTTTCTTAATTCTCAAGGACCCACTTAAGAATCAAGCAAAAGCCCTGGGTTCTTCCCTCAGGAAAATGCAAATATAGATTGAGCATTCCTAGTCTGAAAAATCCAAATCCCGAAATGCTCCAAACTCTGAAATTTTTTGACAACAGTACCACCGTAAGTAAAATATTCCACATGTGAATTCATGTCTGGGGCTGAAATGAAAATGTGGGTACACCAAAAACACTGTATAAAATTACCTTCAGGACATGTGTATAAAATGTATATGAAACATAAATGAATTTTGAATTTAGACTTAGGTCCCATCCCCAAGATGTTTCATTATGCTTATGCAATTTTTTTGAAATCCAAAACCTGGTCTTCTGATTTCAAGCAATTCAGATAAGTGATGTGCAACCTATACCCACAAAACTTTACAATTTCAGGGAGTTCAAAAACTCCTTAAGGTCCATGGCCTCAGGTGAAGAAGCCCCAAAGTATACAAACAACCATTCCTAAGACTTGGGTTAATGTTAAGAGATGAAGAAGAAAGAATGAGGAAATATGAGGCAACCCACATGAAGAGTGCGCACTGTCCTCTGGGACAAGGATGAGAAAAGCAAGGATAGGTGAAGATTTGGATAAGGGGTAAAAATGTGGGGCTGAGGTTGTGGCTCAGTGGTAGAGTGCTTGCCTAGCATGTGTGAGGCATTGGGTTCGATTCTCAGCACTGCATATTAATAAAATAAAAGTCCATTGACAACTTAAAAAAATATTAAAAAAAGAAAGAAGGGGTAGAAATGTGGGGAAGTTCCAAAAGTTCTTTCCAAAAGTTTAGAATTATAGACACTTTGAATAGGAAGGAAAAGTCAAAGGGTGTAGAAACCACACAAAATTTGATGAATAATTTTCAAATTTTTATATTTGTAACAAGTGAATATTTTGTGAATTCATTTAAAAAATAGTAAAGTAACAGTTTAACTTAACAAAAAAAAAATAATCTCTAATTGGGTGCACCAAAAACACTGATAAAATCACTTCCAGGAGATGTGTATAAGATGTATATAAAACATAAATGAATTTTGTATTTAGACTTAGGTCCCTTTGATCTTCTGTTTCACTAAAAAATTAAATTTTACTAGATCTTCTTTCAATAATCTCTCCAATAATTCCATCCAAACCCCAAGCTYTTCTCTTTTCTACACTCCTAACCATAGAGTAAAGAAATAAGTTGTGTCTTCAAAGCTACTCTCTTCAGAGAGGTAGTGTTTACCAAGATCTCTTGGAAACACAAGAAGGGATTAAATAGTTGTTTTCAGGAGGCTTTTCTATGCTAAAAGGATTTAGTAACATAACAAACTGTTGCTAAGAACATAACTAAGACAAAAAGAACTACCTTACTAACTCACTCACTTCAAAATATTATCCTGGGATGCAGATATAAGGATGTTTACAGCAACATAATTTGTAATGGCCCCAAACTGTATAAAATCTATACATTCTTAAGATAGATAAATGGTGGTGTGTTTTGACAAGGGAACACTAATCAGCAAACTAACTACAAGCAACAATAAGGACAAATCTTAAAAACAATGCTGAGTAAAGAAGATGCAAAACAGTACTCAGTAAAATTCCATTTATATGGAATTCAAAAACAAGCTAAACTATAACATACATGTTCATGTTAAAGACTGTGAAACTACAAGGAAAGGCAAGGAAGTTGGGCAAGCGTTTATCTATGGGGGGCAAAAAGAGCCTGTGATGTGTTAAGAGATGAATAACTGCACTTGCTCTAACTACCTCTGCATATGGAGGAGTTTAAATCAAATCATCCTAGAACAACCTTCTCTAAGCAACTGAAAAAGGCGGCAGAAAAGAGAGCTCAGAGAATGTCTACTCCTAATTATATTTTCTTCAGAAAGTAAATGAGATATATTTTGAAGCTACCATTAAATAATGCCTACGTTTACAGTCTGAAATGTTTCATTAATGTTAATTCTCTAGTAAATTCATTAATGTTAATTATTGAGAATTAACTAGATGAATTAAGATCAAAAGGTTTAGTCCGTTAATCAATTAAAATATAAACAAGAATCAGTTTTATCTTGGAGGCAGAAATGTGATTCTTCCCTTTCTCTTATAAGTAACCTATTTATTTAATTTACAAACCGATTGTCTTCCTTTCAAGAAAAACCAAATTGAACTTGACATGCTGAAAGCTGGTAGAAGACATTTAAAACAAAACACATCCTGGGACAAAAAGTCCCGAAATGGAAAAAGGAAAACGCTAGAACACTGTCTTCTGTGCAAAGTTTCAATGAAGCCAGAATACTTAATTTTATTCGGGGGCGGGGATGATTTTAGGTGTTGAGTCCATGAAAACCGCATATTTGAGACCTACAATAGCTTTTCAAACAAAAGCCAACGTACCCTGACTCTCCTGTGGCCAATTCCTGCTGAAATTATACTATGCAAACGACCAAATAATATCGAAGTCTATAAGGGAGACTGAGAAGTGAGCCTGGGAGTCAGAAGGAGGTAGACTCAACGCTAAATCTGACTTCCAAAAGTCTCCGCTCCACTCCAGCGCGTTTCTAAGCAGACCAACCCAGCGGACAGCCGTGGCAGGAAGGGAAGCGAAGCGGTCACCATAGGAACTGGGCTCAACCCTAAGCTCCCCACAAACGACCACAAGGGCAGGCTGAGCCGCCCGAGGGCTTTCCTGGCCCGCGACTCGGCACGCTACTGCCCCTCACAGCGGCTGCGGCAGAGAACACCCACCTGGGCCCTCAGCCCCCGATCCCCCCCAGAGCCCTCTTGCAGCCTCCCCGTCGGAGGCCTCCCGGCCCGAGAGCGGCGTTTCCCCACCCTGGCGCATCTCCGCTGCTTCTACCTGGAGCTCCGGAGACCTCTCTGGCCCGCCATCCTCCCCGGAGCTCATCCCTGCGACTGCCTGGCCAGGGCCGCCGGGAGAGATCCAGGTCCCGCCCGGCCTCCATCCTCCGCCCCTTTCTCCTCCCTGCCCATCCCMAAAATCAGCCCGGCCCCGCCCCTGCGAAGGCGGAGAAAAGCGGGCYCCGACGGGAGGTCGGCCGGGGCGGTTAGCGCCCGCCTGCGCGCCGTCGGCCCCGCCCTCCACGCTCTGTACCTGAGGGGGGCTCTTCTTCCACCTCCCCGGCGCCTCCGCTCCGCTTCCGTCCGGCGCGCCCCCAGTCCCCGTGCGCACGCGTAGCTGGCTCCACTCGCCCTCTCGCGGGGACTACAAGCCGTGCGCGTGCACCCACGCACGTAGCGACGCGTGCATCCACCTGCTCGCGGTATAGGGAGCCCAGGAGAGGCTCTTCCCGGCCCATTCGCGCCGCGCAGGCGCAAGCCCACGCTGCGTCTAGACGCCGGACCCTGAGCGTCCCGTCTCCTAGTAACCATCAGCGAGACCCCTACCCCACCGCTTTCTGGCTCCAGCCCGGGTGCCGCACCTGGATGGAACGCGCATGCGCGGTGCAGTCTCTCGCTGGCGGTCCCTCAGCTCTGGGACACCTGCTGCTTGARGCAGTGGCTTTGTGTCACTTTTCCTAGGGATCGGGCATCGTTCTGGACTCACGTTCAGTGAAACGGTTACTCCCCAGAGTTGCWCTTCGGCGCGGCTCCTGCCACAGCCAGGAGGCTGTTCCTGAGGGAGCCTCCAGGTTGGGTCCTCCCACTGCAGCCTCCAGGGAACGAGCCCRCCGGTCCCGGTGAGCCCGGGCAGCCTCCCGCCCAGGGAAGCCGTGCACCCATGACCTCCGTCAGCCCTGCACGATGGAGTCAGGCTGGTATTGGGAGGTGGCAAAAATAAGAATGAAAGCCCAGATTCCCAGGCCTCCTCCAAGTCCCCTTCCCAGAAAAATGGGTGATAGTTAACAAAGAAAGATAGACAACCTCACATGATGTTTTATAGAGTATTGATTTTTTTTYCCCTTGGTTAATATCCTTCAATCTTCTCTTAATTTGGAGTCTTCAATCTGGGAACACTCTAACTTAACCTGTGTAGTATTTTTGGCCATCCAATTGCGTAAAAAATGTTCAAGTGCAGAAATGAGCTTTTAGGTGAAAGAAATGAGCTCTGTGTTATTTTGCCAATTTTTTGAAGCCTAACTTAAAAAAAAATATTATCTTTTGTTTCTTAATATATAACATGTTCCACCCTTCTTAAATAACCCAGTAGCATCTGAACCGCATTGTTGATCTTGTCTCTTTGTCTTTTCCCACAGATAACATAGACATTTGTTTTTGTTTTTGTTTTTTTTCCACGGTCTCCAGTTTTTTTGATGCAGTATAAGTCTGTGCCTGTCAAAAATAAGTTCATGTTTGAGAAAACTAACAATTCCTGTTTCTTGGTGAGTGCTCATTTTTTTTTAACCAAACATTATTTGCAGGGGTAAGCAAATTTTATGTTAAAACAAATTTCTTTAGAAAAGTACTTAAATCTAAGTGTCTTGTTTTTCTAATCCCTGGGATTTTTCCATAAGATGTTTATGTCATTATGTTTTTAAAATTTTGTAACATTTATTTACATATACCCATACTTTATAACTAGATACTAGCAAATTAAATGTTCCTGTTATTTTAGACAAAGAGATGGGAATACCCAGGGAGCACATTTCCTGTCAAATATTATACCTGGTTGATAAAATAAGTAATGAAGGAGCATGGGCTTTCAAAGACTATCCTAAAAATTTAGGGGAAATGATGTATAATCTGGTATCCTCTTTAGATATAAGATTATTTTGAATAGAAGAGTGTCATTTGGCGTGGAAAACAAATGAGGAARAATGTACTAGTTTAAAAACTAGCAGTTGAGCTGGGTGTGTAGTTTAGTGGAAGCATGTGCTTGCCACGTGGGAGGCCAAGAGTTCAGTCCCTAGAACCAAAACAAAACAAAAATCTATCCATTGCAATTGAAGACTTCAGGGGGAGGAGAATTATTAATATAGGAAATGGAAAATTTTATTAATATAGGAATAAAAAATTTAAGCATTTATATATGCTCCCAGATGTTACCACAGATTCTTGGGAAAGAATATAGAGAGAAGATATTTTGAAGGCCAAAAGAAGGCATCAAGATTTTAATTTATTTTCCTATTGCAGACTATTCACTTACTCCCCTATCTTAAGAAAGTGAAAATTTCCTTCCTTCGATGGAAACTCAAGAACCTTGTATAGTACCTCTGCTCACCCTTGTGACACATAACTTCTTTATTGCTCTAAGGTCTGGATTTTCTAAACCTTTGGTTTCCCTGTCATTTCAAAAGCTTTACCAGAAAAAAACTCTGCTTTGCCTTTTTTTTCCCCCCTGTGCCACTCTTGGTTTCCTAAAAAAAAAAAAACTGAGACTTCAGACATACATGTTAAGCTACTTGATGTTGTGCCACAGTTTATTAAAGGTCTGTTCATTTTTTAAATGGTGCTGGGGGTGGAACCCAGGGCCTGACAGGAGTTAGGCAAGTGCTCTACCACTGAGCTACATCCCCAGCCCTCTATTGCTGTATCTTGGGTTTTTTCGGTTCATCCTTTGGTAGTGTTAACCCCACCCACAATATGCTTCCTGTTGGAAATTGTGTTTTTCATCTCTGGAAGTTTGGTTTTAAAAAAAAWTTTTTTCATTTCACACTGTATCATGCTCATGGTTTACTCTATTTTCTTGAAAATATGGACTATATTTAAAATGTTTARGTTACTTACTTGTATACTAATTATATTTTAAGTGTCACTTCTGGATTTGTTTATAATTTTATTTCTGCTTGTTTTCATGCCTACTAAAGTTTGATTGCCAAACATTTCAGATATTACATTTTGGGATGCTGAAGTGTGTGTGTGTTCTTTAAATATGTTTGACTTTCTTCTAAGATGAATAAGGTTATTTGGAAAGAGTTTGATCCTTTAGAACTGCACCATCCAAGCCAGGCATGGTAGCGCACACCTTTAATCCAAGCAGGTTGGGAGGCTGAGGCAGGAGGATCACAAATTCAAAGCCAGCCTCAGCAATTTAGTGAGGCCCTAAGTAACTTACTGAGACCCAGTCTCAAAAAATGAAAAGGGACGAGRTTGTGGCTTAGTGGTTAAGCACSCTGGGTTCAATTCCTAGTGCTCAAAACAAAACAAAATAACTGTAACATCCAAAATAGTGCCACTGTCTACATGTGACTATTTGAATCTGAGTTGATAAAATTAAATTTTATTTGTAATATCCACATTTCATGTACCAAAAGCCACATGTAGCTAGTGGCTACCATATAGAACAACATAGGTATAGAATATTTCCATCACTACAAATAGTTCTACTGGACAGTGCTATATAGTGGTTAGCTTTTATGGTTTGTTTATATTCTATGTAATCTTTAGTTTTGGATGATTTGGACCCTATACTGAGTCAATAACTTTCTGAGCATTCTACCCGATACCTCAAATATTAGGAGGTCTTTCCATTCTGGTGACAATGTAAATCATCCCTTGTCCTGTGTAAGCTCTGGATTATTCTGCCTTCTCTTTTTAGGTGGCTGTTTCCCAGACTTCACATTTTTCTTTCCATACATGTACTAATCAGCACTCAGCTGAAGAATCGAGGGGAATCCTCTTCAGACCCTAGAGTGCTTTTCCACTCTATCTCTTTCCTCTCCACAGACTCTAGCCTCTCCAAATTCTAAACTCTGTCTTCTCAGTTCATTAAAATGACCACACTCTCTTTGGGTTCACTTCTTCTGTGCTGAAGCCTGAAAATTCCAAATAATTTGCCTTCAGAGGACTCACCTTCTTTATTTTCTTTCTCTCAGTGATCACTCTCTCGCACAGCCTATTGTCCAATACAGTTTGTCTATATTTTTAAATGGGAAAGTATGAGCATAAATCTGGTTCCCATTGCTCCCCTATGACTGGAAACAGAAGCTAACCAGATCGCCATAGTTTGAGGTTCCATGTCACTAATTATCTCCAATGGAAGTAATTTGCAGTTTAACAGTTGTTACCATCTGAGGGAATGATTAGTTCAAAGACTGGAAGCAGATGCGGATTTCCCACAGCACATACTTTAAGAACATCAGTGAGCTCATACAGCTGGGGCAGGAGAAAAGAGGGCTAGGGGAGAGTGTTAACTGGTATGTTAGTTTTCTGTTGCTACAATTTGCCATAAACTTAATGCTTTAAACAATATAAGTTTATTATTATATGGTTATTTTTTAATATTTTTAGTTGATGATAGATCTTTATTTTTTTTTATATGTGGTTGCTGAGAATTGACCCAGTGCCTCACACATACCAGGCACGTGCACTGCCACTGAACCACAGCCACAGCCCCTATTATATGGTTCTTAAGGTTAGAAATCCAAATTGGTTCTTACTGAGCTAAAACTAAGATTTCTTGCCTTTTCAACTTCTATAGGCTGCTCATGATTCCCTGGCTTGTAGTCCTTGTCTGTCTTCAAAGTCAACAAGTCCTTCCCACATTATATCACTCTGACACCTACCTTCTTCTCTTCCTCATTCACTTATAGAGACCCCTGTGATTATATTGGTGCCACCCAACTAATCCAGTGTCATCTTCCCACCTCTGGGTCAGCTGGTCTTTGGGGGCCATTATTCTGCCTCCCACAGGTGAGGACTAGATGTGTAGAGAATTTGGCTTTTTGTCTGAGATGGAAAGCAACTAGAGTATGCTGAGTGGAGATTGATGTGATCTGGCTTATGTTTTAAAAAGCAAAACTGGGGCTGGGGCTGGAGATGTRGCTCAGCGGTAGAGCGCTCGCCTAGCAAGTGCGGGGCCCTGGGTTTGATCCTCAGCACCACATAAAAATAAATAAATATATAAAGATATTGTGTCCAACCACAACTAAAAAATAAAAATAAAAGCAAAACTGTTAGAAAACTACAGTATAGGCCATGGTAGAAGTAGAAACAGGATCCATTGACAGATTGGACATGGAATATAAGATAAAGAAGAGTCAAAAATGACTCCACCTGCAGTGCACAAGGTTTCATGTCATACCACATTCTCCTTAATGTTCAGTACTATCCACTTTTCTAGTCGACCGTAATGTCAGTAAACTTGGATTTCCAATTCCTACTAAATTTGAACATCTCTTATGTATTCATAACACACTTGGGATTCCTCAATCTATGAATTATGTCTTTATATCCTTTGCCCATTTTTCTCTTGGGTTTTCTTTATTCTTATTGATTTGTAGTTCTTTCGAATACTGCAGCTATTRTGCCTGTCATCTTTAGATAGCAAATATCTCCTTTCAAACTTTTATTCCTTTTTATGTATGGTTTTTTCACTGATAGGAATTGTTACTTATGAGGACTCCAATCTAAATTCTTTAAGTCTTGTTCAATAAATCCTTCTCCAAAAAAGGAAAGAAAGAAATCCTTCTCCACCCCAAGGTGACAAACAAATTGTTCTATGTTTTCTTCAATTGTATTTTTAGTTCTACCATTCACATTCAGGTCTTTTCTACATTTGAACTTTACTTTTATATGTAAGATAGGGATCCTGCTTTACTTTCACAGGATCCTATGTGATTGCTTCATGGTCCACATGGTGAGCCAGTGTTCACAGTGCCAACATACCAAACTTAATGAGCTCAATCTCCATTGCCTTATAGTGCCTCCTGTAGCACATGTGAGGTTCATGAACATACCTAGGTCCAAGTTGCAGCTCTGTCATGTTCTTTTCTTCCTTTATTTGTTTCTGCACCTGTACAAGATTGCTTTTGTTACTTTGATTTTGTAGCATATCTTAATATCTGATAAGATAAGCCTCTTCGTTCTTTTTGTCTAAATTGATTTAATCTTCATGAACCTTTATTCTTCCATACACATTCAAGATTTCCTCTTGAATAGCAACCTGAATGCTGGGCCAAAGAAGCCCCCAACACACTTGTTATTCCTTCATGTCCTCAGGACTCTGGAGGAAGTTAAAGTGAGACTTTCATGGACAAATCTGCCCTGATATTTGGTTCTTCCTTAATTCCTCTATTAGAATGAAGTTTAATGTGCAAATTGATAATTAAATAAATTACCATTATTTTAGATTTATTTCAAATGCAATATGTTATTTTATAGGGTTTTATTAGTGTTTTATAAGCTTTATTCCAATTTTATAGTTTGAAAATGTTTTAAATCTATAGAACTGTAACAAAAATAATAAGCTTCACAGTTTTTTATCCTTCACCTCCTAGATTCAATAGTGTGTGTTTAACATTTTACATATTTTACTTTCTCTCTGTACTTACCTATTGCTAAACAATTTGAGAGCAAGTTGCAGATATGATCCTTCAACTTTAATTGTTTCGGCATGTATTTCCTAAGAATAAGGATATTCGTTTATTTTTTAATTTTTTTTAATTTCTTTTTTTTTTAAAGAAGTCTATTGTTTAGTATAGTGAATAATTTTATTTCTTTTTTTTTAAGAGAGAGTGATAGAGGGAGAGAGAGAGAGAGAGAGAATTTTTAATATTTATTTTTCAGTTTTCGGCAGACACAACATCGTTGTTTGTATGTGGTGCTGAGGATCGAACCCGGGCCGCACGCATGCCAGATGAGGGCGCTACCRCTTGAGCCACATCCCCAGCCCAGGATATTCGTTTATATAATCACAATACAATTATAATTTGTGTGGCATTTAACATAGATACAGTATTATTATCTAATAAAACATCTATATACAAATTGTACAATTATCCAAGTAGTGGTCTTTATACTACACTCTCCAACACATTCAAAAATCACTCATTACATTTGAGATCATGTACCTTTGACTTTCTTTAATCTAAACAACTTCTCAGCCTCTCTTTGCTTTTCATGACATTGACACTTTTTAATACTATTTTGTTTTGTAGAATGTCTTTCAATTTTGTTTGTGCCTCAATCTGATTTTTTCTTTATGATTAGATTCAAATTATACTTTTTTCTCTTTTTCTTTTTGTTGTGTTGAGAATTAAACCCAGGGCCTCATACATGCTAGGGAAATGCTCTACCACTGAGCTACACTCCCAGCCTCAAGTTATTCATTTTTGACATGAGTGTTTCCTTTTTAATTAAATAGAAGAAACCAAATAATAGTATAAACTTAATTTTATTAACTTGAAAGTAGTGTTAGGTTTTTTTTGTTTTTTGTTTTTTTTTTGATGAGGAAGAAAAATTCCTGTTCAAGTTCCAAATATAAGAAACAAGTATACTGGGCTGGGGATATAGCTCAGTTGGCAGAGTGCTTGCCTCACATGCACAGGCCCTGGGTTCAATCCCCAGCAGCACACACACACACAAAAAAAAAAAGGAAGAAGAAGAAACAAGTATATCTACATTTTAGAACTYCATCAGAGATCTTTTTAAAATGTAGCTAAATTGCATTTGATTCCCAGAAAACCAAATCTGTACTACTTATCTGATTGTTATATTAGTAACATGTAACTGTTTTATTTACCATACAATAGCAGGCCCAGGATTCTGTTTTGTTATAAACACTGATACTCAATCACAAATAAAGATTGACAGGGATGTAAGAGATTYCTCAGAAAATTAAAATAGAAAATGATTAGGGCTTGATAGATATGGAATTGTAAACTATCAACAGATAATACAGTAGATAAATACTGAAGAAATAATACATTCTAAATAAATGGGCATGGGCTTTCACTAATAGCCATGGAGTCTGCATCTTTGGTAGAACGCTGTTTTCCAATAAGCACTGTACTTCCTTTACTGTGACGGGAAACCTGTCCTCTCTGCCATACTAGTCAACTCTACCTAGCAAATTCCTGCCCATCTTTCAAGGCCCTACTCTGACTTAGTCTCCCTTCCTTTGGGAACCTCTCCCAGGTTGTAAGCTCATCTCTTTTAATAGATTAGGCATTCTTAACAAGTACCATATCTTTATTAGTCATTGCATTACTAAGTTTTTTTGTCACTGTGAACAAAATACCTAAGAATAACAAATTAGAGGAGTAAATATTTATTTTGGCTCATGGTTTCCAAGGATTCAGTCTTCAGTAGGCCAACTTCATGGCTGTGGGTCTGAGATTAGGCAGAACAAGATGGTCGAAGGCTGTGATGGAGGAAAGCTGCTCAGCACATGGTAGCCAATAAGTAGAGAGAGAGAAAGAAGAAGTAAGGGACCAGGGAGAAGGTAGGACATGTCCCAAATGACCTTCTTCTAACTAGGTCCCACACCCCAGTAGTCTATTCAGCTATTAATGGATTAATCCACTAATGAGGTCAGAATCCTCATGATCCAATCATTACCTAAAAGCCTAACATCTGGGGGCTGGGGATATAGCTCAGTTGGTAGAATGTTTGCCTCATATGCACAAGGCCCTGGATTCAATCCCCAGCACCATAAATAAACAAATAAATAGTCAATCTCTGACAGGGTACATTGTCCAAGAAAAATGGAAAACAAAAAGAGAATCTTTCATTGTATAAGAATTGCTATTTTGTGTTGTCAGACATGCTATACTATATTAATAAGCAACTGTTGATAGGTACAGAGGCAGGGTATTCCCATGGGAGAAGCATTTCTTATATGATGTGGAATCTCAGGGTAAAATTGAGTCTATTTGGTCATTGTCCATATAGCCTGGCCCATAACAAGACAAGACTAAGAGAAGTTCTGTTATTTACTGAAAGGTGATAAACATAACGTCAGGCAAATTCCTTTTTAAAAAGACTTTCAAGGGACTTTATGGACCTACAAACACTTCCACAAAGAAAATGTAAATACTGAAAGGTAAAAGGCAATTTTACTTTATATTTATAGCATTACCATGACATTTCATCCAAACCAACATTGCTATGAAGTTGTCAAAATTCCTATTGTATTCACTTGTTACCTACATCTTTTTTTTTTCAGTAATCAGATTGAAGAAACTACTTAAAAAGGTGTCTTCAAACAACCTTGATATTTGTTCAACTGTCCCAATGGGATTTTCATTTAGTAAATCTGCTACGCAGGTATCTGCCATGCGAATGGATTCAAAAGTGGACAGTTACTTAATGCAAGGGACTGAGAAAAGCAGGTTGAAACCAATGACTCGATTATTTCAAAACACCAAGAAAATAATGTTAGAAGACACAAACCAAGAAAACTTTTCAAGAATTGAAGGAATTGGCCCAGGATCTCTTTCAAAGAAAGCCTTGGGTTCAGTGGTATATGTTAAAGAAAGTGATGGACTAGAAATGACAGATGTGGAATGAAGTATCATACACATATTACCAAAACAATCCAAAAACTGCCTTTGATAAGTGGAGGTGTTGAATGAGAACTGAACCTTATTGGGWAAATCTAACAAAATGAAGGAAGGTTGTTATATTTTATTATTTATGAGTCATCTTAAACTATATTTTTTGATGGTGCAAAAACTGTGCAAGGTCCTGGGTTCCACCCTCAGTAACTAATATACACACATACACACACATTTGAACTTGTTCCTATACTGTAATATTTAATAACTCTGTAATACCCAACTGCATAATCTTCTCAATATTCATATTTTAAAAAGAGGAAAAGGCATGATTTCAGGGAATAAAAATATTTTGTAACAGAAAATGCTAAATGTATTTGTAGATATTATATAAAGCAATTTACAGTTGCTTTAAGGGAAAAAAAATAGCCTTCCAAAATTCAAGGCAGATTTCTCTGRGATTATATTCTATCTTTGTTAAAAAATAGAATATTTAGTAACAGTATTTGAAATGCAAAACTTTTTGCTATACTTTTTATGAATTTCTTTAACAAGTGGTGGTGGGAGGGGCAGAGTGTTCAAGCAATTTCACACCAGTATTTTATGCTATTTATGCTGTACCATTTTTGTATGTTGCATCTTCAATTTGGGATTTTTCCTTAGGATACTTTGCCTTCCTATAATTTTTCATTTCTGTTTTGTAAAAGATTCCTGCAGATAAACTCTACAACCAACCAATAAATTACATAGCTTCAGAAGCATTTCACATTTAAAAGTTTTTCTTTTAAAACTTTCCCTCATGTGGAATTCATTTCAAAGTTAGAAAATAGTTCTTTCCAAATATCACAGCATATCTTGCAGATGCTAACAAGTTATATTCCAATATTTTGTATAAGAAAAACAACCTAGTGTTCAAAATTTGTTTTACATATCAGTTATTGAAATACATGGCAGTTTGAAACAGCAGTGTTGTTCCAAGTAATGTTAGATGAAATTAAAACCATTTTATATCCATACAGAGAGTGACCTATAATTATATTATGCATGTTGTTTGTTTGTTTGTTTTTTGGTGCTGGGACTTGATTCCAGAGCCTCACACATACTAAGCACATGCTSTACCACTGAGCTACACTCCTAGTATATTTTGTTTAGCTCAGTGGTAGAGTGTTTGCCCAGTAAGTGCAAAGGGTTCCATCCCCAGTAACACACACACACACATACACACACACACACAGTTGGAACATGTTCCTGTACTATAGTATTTAAGAACTGTCTGTAATGCCCACTGCATAATCTCCTCAATATTCATTTTTTAAAATAACAGACAAATGCTAAATGTATTTGAAGGGAATATTGAGCCTAAAGAACCAAAATTGTCAAATGATACATAAATGAGTAAAACAATGCTTTTGTCACTTACAAAACATAATTCTTTGGAAAAGAAAAAAAGAATTCCTTGTTCACCAAGGCTGGCACTATGCTTGGTGCTGGAGATATGGCAGTGGATAAAATAGCTACTGCCTTCACAGTGCTTTCTGTCTGTCTACCAGGAAAGCCAAAACATATAAAGAAATTATATAAGATATGCTATGAAGAAAACGTAAAACATTCAGAGAGATGTAACAGGAGGAATAACACATAAAGTTGATTTCAATTCTGGRAACTAGGAAGACTTCTCCAAGGATATGACATTTATAATTTCTGCAGTTACATGATTGTCCAATGGATGATGACAGTGGTATAAAGTTGGTATTTAAAGTCATGGGAATGAATGTGATTGTTTAAGGAGCACATTTGTGGGAAGGTGAAGAAGTGAGGAACTCCAACATTTAGGGGCTGATCAGAGCAAGGGCAACTGTCAGAGGGTACTGAGAAGTTGGTAATGAGGCCAAAGGAAAGCCAAGTTAATAATATAAAGGTTGTCTATAGGAGTCTTTCTAGGTGGAACCAGTGAACAGAAAGGTTAGGTGAAGACCAAAAAGTCCATTGGATCCAGCAACACGAATGTCACAGTGGTCTTAGCAAAAGCACTTGTGGTGGAATAAATGGGGCAGAAGCCATTTTGGAGTTGGTTGAATATGAAGTAAGGAAGTAGATATTGTATATATAGTGACTCTTCCAAGAAGCTTTGCTCTGAAAGGGAGTAAACACATTGAAAGTTGGAAGGGGAAATGAGGTCTCTGGAGGATTTGTGAAGCATATTAGAGTATCGCTGGAAAGTTCCAGGGGAGAAGCTGAAGAAGTAGGAAAGGGGGCAATAATAGCCAAGGAACAGAAATCTTAGAGCAGGGAGAAAAGAATAGGATTCTCTATAACTACCTCAGAAGGAAAGAAGAGGAAAAATAAACTACTTTAGAGAAATCAAATTTGGAAGGAAACAATATAGAGAGTGACAACATTATGGACCTACTATCAATAACTAGGAAAATTCCTACTGAAACTCTGAAAAGAATCCATTTCTACTTGCATAATATAAGACTCAGCCCTATCATTTATGGTATCAGCATTGCCAACTGTGAACACAGAATGCTGCTTACTCCAAGAGATAAGTCTTGGTGGATACCCTTCTAACTGAAGTAGGGACTGGTTTTTGTGGAAGATTGAAAGAGATGGTCATAAATTCTTTGGGGTCCTCTCACCAAGAAATGGGGTCGTCATGAGTGGGCTATGCCATTAACATAGGCTAGACATGTTTGTGTCTTTCCACAATGTCAAATTTATTGAATAACTGTAAATTCACAAACTATATCACTTTCATTGGGATTAATTCACTGAAAATACTCTCAGTTCACTTGGTGTCRTGAGTGGAGCAGTCACAAGTTCTTTTATTCCATCCCAATCTTAATAATATCTGTAGTATTCAAGTCACATCATACTTCACACAGTGATGTACATACATCACAGAAATGCTCACGAAGGGTTAAAGTGGCCACAGGTTTCCAGAGGCTGCAGTGAGAAAAAAGGTAGAGAGCAGGTGCAAAGGCAAAGAGTCATTGCAGGTGGTGAGATCAGTGTTTAAGGAACCAGTTCTCATAAGTTGAGAGTCCAGAAGGTAGGCACTTAACAGGGTCATTTGACGTGGGCCTCGTCTTGTCATGGGCAGGAGAAACACTGAGCTGAACCCTGGGGACAGAGTCCAAAGTCCATTGATGTGGCATTGTGGGCAAGACTCATGATTAGTGACAGGATCAGAGTGCTGCCATGTCCAGGAGGGTACTCCTCCTTTTATGGGCCTTAGGTGAGGGGGTTATATCTGGTGACTACAATAAACTCATGAGCCGGGTTTTTCAGATATGCATTTGATTGTCCATGCATACATGTGCTTCTAATTTAATAAGTTCACAGGTGGTCATTTTTTTAATAGACTCTTTTTGAAAAAAATATTTTTCAGTTGTTAATGGACCTTTATTTTACTTATTATGTATATGCAGTGCTGATAATCGAACCCTGTGCCTCACACATGCTAGGCAAGCACTCTACCACTGAGCCATTATCCTAGCCCCACAGGTGGTCATTTTTATTAGCATGACTAATTAACTTATCAGTGTGTGCCTTATGATTGTGCTGTGTAGCTGAGGGTTTTTCTTTTCAAAAAGTTCTGTATGTCCAAAATATGATGATTATCTATTTGTCAAGACAAGTTACCAAGTCATTCTGCCTTGGCACTGACACTCAAATTGGAGTAGCTCAGGACAAAAACTGTTGCTTTATAAAATGGAGTGACTAAGGGCTAGGCACTGCTGTTCTACATAACATGGAGTAATTTGGAGCAGGGCACAGCCTGCTCTTCACAGGGGGCCATCATTCCATCCCTTAACTCTCCACTGGCTTTCTCAAGTGCTGCCTCCAGGTGCTGAACTGAGCTGCTCCAGCAGGTAGCCTGCACCAAGTGCCAGAGTGTGAATAAGGATCATCTTGGACCCCCTCAGCTCAGCCACCCCTTGCTGAATGGAGCCACAGGGTAAACCCAGGTGAAACCAGCTTGCTCACATAATTCTTAGAGATAATAAGTCATGATGTTTGAGGCGCTTTATCACTCTGCAATAACTAGCTGAAATCTTGGTTTTAGAGAGAATTTCCCGTCTGGCTGAAGGGAAGGACTTTTTTGCCAACAATGAGTACAACAAAATGTGTCTGCTTTTTGATCCACTCAGTCCAACTTATTACCATCTCTGTGTTGCGAATGCCAACGTTTATTCCTTTAAATGCAATTTTTCTTTCAAAAATGATTTGAATTTTCCCTTTTGAGTTACCTGCCAATTGAACTGAGAGTCCACGCAGTCAGTAAAGAGCACTTGCTGGTACTCTTGCGGGCTGTGACCTGAGTGCTTTGGGTTTCTGGGGTCTCCCCCTGAACAAGCCTACGAAATGCCCCTTCCACCTGGCGCACCTGCCTCTCCTACCTTCGCCCCGGGACGGCCGTTATCTCTGTGCTCTCACACAGCGAACTGCCATCTGAGCTAACAAAATTTTGATACTTTTATTCAAACGTGGCCTGCGACCCTGTCTCAAATGTGGTTTTGCGTTAGTTGGCACGTCCCGAGGGAGCCTTAGGAACCCCGCCCGGCGACCTCCTAGGCAAACCGGGCCCGCTCGGGAAGTAGCCACGCCTCCTSCGGCCCTCGTGGGCGGGCCGGGCCGGGGCCCCGCCTCTGCTCGTGGGCGGGGCTTGGGGTGATGCGCGTCGCGTGCGCAGCCGCTGAGCGCCCGGGGTCGACCCGTTCTTCTCCGGTACCAGTGCTCCCCGGCGGGTAGGTGCTACCGGAAGCAGCAGGTGAGAGAAGCCGGAAGCGGATCTAACGTGAACGGCGCGTGGTGGCGGGTGGAAACGGGCCCGGCGGGGCGCTCGGGGTTCTTCGGGCGGCGGGCAAGGACAAAGATCCCCGAGACGGGTTCTGCGTGCGCGCGCCTCTGGCCTTCAGGGGCTGGTGCTGCAGGCTCTGCAGCTTGTGCTCTGCGCTCGGCACGACCTGATGGCTCTGTTAAGAGCGGCCGATCCCGAGCCCCGGTCGGGTGTGTCAGGTGGCAAAGTAGATGTCTGGGTAAGGTTTTATGATTAGCCGGGATTATGCTATTTTTGTTTTTTTAAATCTGTTTTCTGTTTGGTGATGGGGAACTATGTTTGGCAGTGCACAGTGACAACGAAGTGTCCCGCAGAACAGGGACATGAGAGCGTCTTCTGAGGAAAACGTGTACGGTTCGTAATTACAGGGTGGTTGGTAATTACAGGGTTAGAGTAGATATGCAAAGCGATTTAAAAAAAATCTTTTTTGCTTGTCTTTCAAAGTCTTAGCTATATCCTGGCAACTCTCATTTAGTCCGTACCTATCTGCCACAGGAGCACAGAGCCAAAGAGAGACACACCTGTCCCAGCGAATCCAAAGCTCCCCGAGGAGTAAACACTATCCTGGCTTAAGAGTAGACTCTTTCCTGGTCCCAGGAATTGAGGTGGTTTCCTCTGGACCCATCCCATCTAATATTGAGATCATATAACTCAGTCTTTTGGTTCTGATGCATATTTACCAAAGTTAAGATAAATAGCCTTACCTGTAGTCCTATAGCAAGTAGTTGGGCAGGCCTAGAGGAATCTCTCTCTGGTCAATAGTTTATGGTTCTCTCTGTAAATCAGTAAGTTCACATTTAGGTTTTCTTGGACATACCTTTCTTTCCACTTTTCTCTGTGTGATTCTTGTTATCCTTTAGGGCCCAGTTATAATGTTACATTCTCACTAAGGCCAAGAATAGTTTGTTACATAAGCGTTCAACCTAACTCCTTAATCTTTGTTCCCATGTCAACTTTTTTAAAGATGAGTAGTTTAACAATCCTATTTGAAATTGAAGCCTAATGATTCTTGCATATACATTTTCAGTCTTCCCTCTCCCAGCTTTAGTTTTTCTTTTACCCCCCTTAATTACTTGGCTTACTGATAAATCCCAAGTGGTAAGAAGAGTACATGTCATATAGTTGATGCAGAATTTGTCAAATTAATACCTTTGCTGGGTTGTGTTTCATTCATAATATATACACAGTGCCTGGATGAATGGAGAGTTTGGCACTATTAAAATACATAAATTAAAATACATAAATAAATAAATTTATGTATTTATTCAATTTATTTATTGAATAAATAATTCAATTTATTCCATACATTGAATCAATACATGAATCAGATCAGTTATAGAACCCTAGCAAATATTATTTTTGACCAATATTTTGTGGATTATGGTTAATTTTTCAAAGTAAATGCCACTTTATTGCATCTTGGTTATGAGTCATTGTACACTTGAGAGAACATAATGTTTTATGACTGGAACAGAAAAACAGATGGGAAGGAACACTGTAATAACAGTTAACGTTTCCATGCAGTTCATATTGGTTTATATGTAATAACCTAATTCTCTTAACCATTCTGTGAGGTCTGAGATAGTTGAAGCAGCCAGAAGTTAACTACTTTCCTAGGGTTATTCAGTTAGTAAGCAGCAGAGCCAGAATTAAAATTTAAGATCTTAACTACTTTGCTATCCTGCCACACTCTGCATATATTAACAAGACTATGTCACGAGGTCTTTGAGAATCTCTTCCACAAACACTTTCTGGCTCATTAGTGTCCAACATACCACCGACCCATTTGTCACTGTTTCTCCCTTGGATCACATTGGAAGGGGATCCTTTCTGCTCCTTCTGAACTCTGGATCCCAGCACCATCACTTTCTCAAGGAGCTCCCTTCACCAATGTTACCCTCTTCTTCCAGTTGTCCTACCAGCAACGTCTAAACATGCTTTGGTCTCTTGCATGTTAGGTTATCTCCTAACTTCACATTTCTTCTATTGCCCTAGCTTCTCCATTTTACAACTAGAATATATTCATTGAATCACTGTGGACCTCCCAGTCACTCAGCATACCTGGTTTTTGCCAAGATCACTAATAACTTTCTTAATGAAGATCTATTTTCAGCATCTTACCTCCTTGAAACTTCCATAATGCCCTATTTAAAATTTTTCTTCTTATTATTCCCAGTTTTCTTTGGGAGCTCTCCCTCCCTTCTCTTCATATCTGTTAAATGTTGCTGCTCTTTAGGGTTGTGTCGAAGACTCTGTGTCTGCTTACAGAACCCTCCTGAGACAATCTAATCTTCTCCCATGGCCTTGGTTACTTTCTTTTCAGCCCTGTCCCATTGGCTGACAAATAATCATAGACACTTAAGTTCAACACAATTAAATGAACCAAATATTTTCACCCCATACCTCCTCTTCCTGTGAGACCTGTACATTATCAGTTAACTACTCTTTTTGTCTCTAGTCTAGCCTTTCTTTAATCCATGCACAACACTGTGGAAATAGTTTTGTATGACTCAACACTTTTTTGCTTAAAACACATCAGTAGATCATAGCTGCCTTCACAGAGAATCCATGTGTTTTAGGATTACATGAACTTGTCTCCTCCCTTCTCTGTCTTCTTACTACCTGTGCCTAGCAGGCACTCCATAAATATTTATTGAATGAGTACAAGACTTTATCAAACTCAAACAGAACCAAGAACAAGGAGATTAGCCAAAGAAATGCAATCTGAGTGCAGAGACTTCCTAGGACAGTAGAGCTGTGAGCATCAGTGAAGCTAGAATACTGTTAGTGTAACTGTCTTTTAGGAAGGAGTACCCAAAACATGCCTTAGTAGTAGAAGATTCTGATAGTTTCAGCCTTTGTATATGCCTTTGCATATGCTACTCCCATCAACCATCAAATTTCAACACTGTTCAAGTATCCCTTCCTCTATTAAACTCTGCAGATGTTTCTTAGGGGAAGGTATAAACTGGTTTTTCTTTTCTAGTCTCTAGTCTAGCCTTTCTTTAATTCATACTAATTTAATATTGACCTAAGTAAAAGTTATGCTGGCAGTAAATCATATATTCCAAGTTGAAATAGGAATTATTTTTATAGCATTGTAAAGACATAATTAGAACTTTCCATAGAGACGTTCATGACTACATTGTTGATAATACAGGAAAACTAGAAAAAAAAGCAATATAGACTAAGAAACTGAGTAAACTGTTTTTTTTTTTTTTTTTTTTTTTAATGGTACTGGCAGTTGAACCTAGGGCTTTACATATGCTAGTCACTGAGCTACATGACCAGCCCAGTGCTTTTAATTTGAGAAGGGTTTTGCTAAGTTATACATGGTGACTGGCCTTGAACTTGTGAACTGATACATTTAATAACAAAATATTACACAGTCATTAAACCTGATTTTAAAATAGATTTAATGTAGAACGAGAGCCAGGCACAATGATGTATACACCTGTAGTCCCAGCTAATTGGGATGTTGAGACAGGAAGGTCATTTGAACTCAGGAGTTTGAGGCCAGCCTGGGCAACATAGTAAGACCTCATCTTAAAAATAAAAATAAAAAATCATTTATATGTATATACATAATTCCCAGAAGACATAAAATGGGTTGTTTATACCAAAATGTTAATTGTGGTTCTTTTCAGCAGTGGGATTATGTTTTCTGTTCTTTTGCTTACCTGTTGTTTCCTCATTTTTTTTCAATGAACATGTATTATGAATTCAAAATAATTTGTTTGGCTTTGGTATGTGTAATGTATTTGCTGCATCCTTTTTTGTTTGAAAAATCTGTACCTTCATTTCAACTGAAATTATTGAATTTTATCTTCATTTTTTTTAAAGTACTTTGTTATAGAGTTGCAAAGACTAAAAACCTTAATAGGCAAGAAAAGCAATCGGACTGGACACCTAGTTAAGTTTGAATCAAATAACCAATAACTGATAGCTAGAAGGTAGAATTTAATTTTCCTTTTTTCATTGAATTAATTTGTTTTTTGTCTTCCATTTTTAAAAGCATGCTGATCCCATTTTCAGTGAAGAACTGCTTCCAGTTGCTTCGTAATCACAAGATTCCAGCAGCAGGCTTTAAAAACACCACAAAAGGTGGGCTCATTTTACAGTCAATTTCCAATGATGTATATCAAAATCTGGCTGTAGAAGACTGGATCCATGACCATGTAAACCTAGAAGGCAAGCCAATTCTTTTCTTTTGGAGAAATTCTCCCTGTGTTGTGATTGGTAGGCATCAAAATCCTTGGCAAGAATGTAACCTGAATCTGATGAGAGAAGAAGGTATAAAACTGGCTAGGAGAAGAAGTGGAGGAGGAACAGTCTACCATGATATGGGTAATATCAATTTGACTTTCTTTACAACCAAAAAAAAGTATGATAGAATGGACAATCTGAAATTAATTGTGAGAGCACTGAATGCTGTCCAACCCCAGCTGGATGTTCAGGCTACCAAAAGATTTGACCTTTTACTTGATGGTCAGTTTAAAATCTCAGGAACAGCCTCAAAGATTGGCCGGACTACTGCTTATCACCATTGTACCTTATTATGTAGTACTGATGGAACCTCTTTGTCTTCTTCACTAAAGAGCCCTTACCAAGGGATCAAGAGCAATGCCACTACTAGCATACCTTCTTTAGTGAAAAATCTTTTGGAGAAAGATCCTACTCTGACCTGTGAAGTACTGATGAATGCTATTGCTGCAGAGTATGCTGCTTATCATCAAATTGATAATCACATTAATCTAATAAATCCAACTGATGAAACACTGTTTCCTGGAATAAATAGCAAAGCCAAAGAACTACAAACTTGGGAATGGATATATGGCAAAACACCAAAGTTTAGTATAGACACTACTTTGGATGTGTTATATGAGCAGTCACACTTGGAAATTAAATTATTCATAGATATAAAGAATGGAAGAATTGAAATCTGCAATATTGAAGCACCTGATCATTGGATACCACTGGCAATATGTGACAAGTTAAATTCAAGTTTTATTGGCAGCAAGTTTTGCCCAACTGAAACTACCATGCTGACAAACATTTTACTTAGAACATACCCAGAAGACCATGAACTACATAGTAAATGGGATATTCTTTGTGAAAAAATTAGAGGAATAATGTGACTCCAAGCAACTATTTATATTGTCAGTTTCAATGAGAGAATAAAACTTTTAAATGCATTGTATGTCTAAAAAACAAAAAAGCTGAGTGCAGTGGCATCTGCTTGTAATCCCAGCACTTGGGAGGCTGAGGCAGGAGGGACACTGAAGTTCAGGAGTTCAGCGTCAGCCTGGACAACAGTGAGGACCATGTCTGGGGAAAAAAGCCTAGTCTCTTTCAGTAACTTCTCCCCATTTGAAATTGTTTATTATCTGTTCTTGTCCATCTTCTCTTTTGACATCTAGAATACTCTTTCTTCATTGATTTAGTTCCTGGCACACATTTATATTTCAGCTCCTTCACTTCTTATTGCCTTGGAAATGTATACCACAGTAGACAGACCAGCTTCATAATTGCTTGTTTTCATACCTCTGTTGCCACCTCTAATATCATAATCTCTAAAATTCTCTCATATTTAAAATATTTTCTTGTCTTTCCATCTTCTCTCACTAAATGAAACCCATTGCATTTTTCCCAGCCTTTGACTTTAATCTCTCCTACCTTCATTTCTTTCCCTCATCAAGCCTGAATTATTTCAAGTATACTGTACTTTCTTACCAGTGTTTTCATCTGCTTTTCTCCCTTTACCTACCATTGCCACTTAAAAAAAAAAAAAAAGTCCAGACAATCGGTTTTCTATTTCTATACCTAGATGACAAGCAATCCAGGGGGTAAAATCATATAATCATGCAGATTTGCCCAATTTCATATTTAAAGTTTTTAACTTACCACATCTTTCTGTTGGTGTCAGATTCATCTCGTCTCTGGTTGACTTCCTCTCATTCTTAAATTTTGCGGTACTGGTGATTGAATCCTTGGCCTCACACATGCTAGGCAAGCATTCTCTGAGCTACATGTCCAGCCATTTTTTTTTTTTTTTTTTTAATTTTGAGATGGTCTTGCTAAGTTGCTCAGGCTGGTTTCTAACTTGTGACCCTCCTGCCTCAGCCTCACAAGTAGCTGGGATAAGAAGTGTGTGCCACTATGCCCGGCATTCCTCTCATTCTCAGGCATCTTATTCCTAAAGGTTACCACTCTCACAGGCTCCAGAATTCCACTAGTCTTTGTAAGGAAAATAAAATAAGGGTGACACAGACACAAGATACAGAGGCAGGAAAAGTGACTGCTTCTCCAAGTGGCCACATTTATTTATATCAGTAATTTACATTAGATCATTAGTACCATATCTACATTATTGTTTATAGTGTGTCAGTAAGGTTGCTTATTCTGCAGTTACAGTTACAATATGCAATGTCAGGAGATTTGTACAGCTCTTAAGAAAATCCATTGTATAAAGTTACTATTATGTGGACAGATTTAGGTTCAGTGAATCATTGTGGTTTTCTACAAGAGAGTCCCTATATTCCCCAGGAGCTGTGTGCCTGAGATGAAGGTCGAAGCTGATAGGACTTTAACAGAGCTTTCTTGTGAAGGACATCTCTAAAGCAGCCAGGCATCCCGTGTCTTTACATAGAAGTTTCCCAGCAGCCAGGCATTCTGTGCCTTTGCACAGAAACTTCCTAGCCACCAAGCATGCCACAATCATAAAGTTTATCAGAGACCCCCAATCCCAAACACAGAGCCCTTACAAGTCTTCAAAAACCTTGATTCTTAATTTGTTGAGAGTTGAAGTCTTCAGAAATGAGTCTTTTAGCTCCAGGTTCTCTACTTCAATATTTATCTTTTCTTTCAATCTCAGGAGGAAGTGCCGCCCTTGCCCTTAGTATAACCTCTCTAATTAAACCTGGATTTTTCCTCTCCTGCTTGTGTTTGGGACTTGCATCATTATATCTTCTTTATCTTGCATTTGTCTTCCCACTTTTACTGGATCCTTAACCAGAATGAATGAATATGTCTCCCTTTTCCCAAAACATTCCTGCTCAAGATGCTTGTGAAAAGATTCTCAATGTTTTCGTTACAAAATTTTTTCAGAGTATCATTCTTGTTGACCATTTCCTGTCTCTATATCTGATTAATTCTCATACTGCTTTTATTTCTAAAATATACTGTGTGTTAGTATTGAGTGCCTATTGTGTCAAGCACTAGACTAGATATTGGATGTTCATAGGGAGTTAAGAAGACATGATCACTGACCTCAAGAACTGACAGTTTAGTATAATGCCTTTCAGACATTTTAAAAATCAGACCAAAGTAAAAAAATATATTTTACATTGTGCCTTAACACACATTTATGCATACCTAATAAGCTTAACAATACAATGCTTGTTCCTTACTATTTCTCTGATATTTTCCATTTTATTTTGTCTTTTAAAAATTGGTGCTGTGTGCAGTGGCACATACCTGTAATCCCAATGGCTCAGGAGGCTGAGGCAGAAGGATTGCGAGTTCAAAGACAGCCTCATCAAAAGCAAGGCCCTAAGCAACTCAGTGAGACCTTGTCTCTAAATAAAATACAAAATAGGGCTAGGATGTGACTCAGTGGTCAAGTGCCCCTAAGTTCAATCTCTGGTGCCCGTCCCTCCCCCCACACACAGACACACAAAAATTGGTCTTTTTTGGGGGGGTACTGTGGATGGAACCTAGGGGCACTTAAGCACTCAGCCACAACCCCAGCCCTTTTTACTTTTTATTGTTCTTATCACTCATTAATATATCAAGACCTCAGTTTTAAAATCTTTGGCTTAGGAGAAGATAATTAGTTACAAATAATTAATTACAAGATAAAAATGGTATTAAGGAAAAGCTGAGATAGTGATTAACAGGCAATAATAGGGGTTACCTAGGTAGAACTACCAGGAAGATGACATTTAAACAGGATAAGAAGAAAGCCATGCAAAGTGGGTGGATGGGGAGGAGAGTATTCAAGGTTATGTCAGTTATTGCTGTGTAACAAACCATTCTAAAACTTGGTAGCTTAAAACAAGAATCATTTTACTCATAAATATATAATTTGAACAGGATTTGGTAGGGATAGCGTATTTGATCCAACAGCATTAACTAGGAGAATTTAACTGGAGCCAGAAATATCTTCCAAGATAGCTTATTCACATGGCTGGCAAATGAGTTGGGTGTATGCTGGGAGCTCTTTGGGGACTGGACTGAGGGCTTTGGTTCCTCTCCATGTGGACTGCCTGGACTTCCTCACAAGCAGGTGGATGGGTTCTAAGAACCAGCAACCAAAGAAGCAGGGCAGAACCTGTTTTATGCCACAGCTTTGGAAGTAATATAGTATAACTTCTGGGATCTCAAGCACAAATTCAAGGAGAGGGAACACAGTTGCTCATCCCCACAGAAGGAATTTCATAGTCATAAGATCTGCAATGAGATTTCAATGGCAAGTACAATTTGCCAAACAGAACAGCATACAGGAAGACTCTAAAGCAGGAAAGACTGGGCTTCTTGACAGTGTTGAGGGAATAGGCAAACAAGGTGGAAAATCAGGCAAGGTGAAGGTGGAGATGGGTAGAGACCAGATCATGTAGAGACTGATAGGCTACAGGAGAGCTTCGTCTTAAGTGCAATAAGAAGTTTTAATAAAGATTACTGTTCTGTGGAGAATGGACTGGAATGAAGCAAGATTAGGAGTGGCCAGTAGTTGGAAGCTACTGCTGAGGTACAGGCAAGTGCCATGGAAAGAAGAGGACAGTGTTCGGCCCTTGTTAAAAATTAAGGATGGCAGAGTGCTTGCCTAGCATGTGTGAGGCACTGGGTTCGATCCTAAACACCACATTAAAAAAAAAAAAAAAAAACCTAAGGCATGCTGTCCATCTACAACTATAAAAAAAAAATTTAAAAATTAGGGATAGCAATGAGTTGAAATGCATTCTGCTGTCATATATAACTAATTAGAACAAATTTTTAAAAGACAAAAAAATTAGGGATGGATGCTTCCTATTTTCAGGACATGGCTTAATTTTGGTTCATTTAAAAAGGAAATAATGAGACTATTAACTTGCTAGGGCTACCATAACACCCACTGATTGGCTCCAAGTTCAAGATAAGGTGTCTTATGAGACCTTGGCTTGTGGACAAGCACCCCATATTCCCACAGCTTCCCTCTGAATGCATGCCTATCTGTGACCAAATTTTCTCCTCTTAGGACCTCAGTCACATGGATTAAGACCCACTCAAACACTTCATTTTAACTCAGTTGCCTCTTTAACAACTTGGTCTCTACATATGGCTACATTTTTCTATTTTTTAGAGAGGAAGAACAGGTGTGCATGCAGGGTTCTGCCTACAACAGGTTATCTCAAAGCAGGGATGGCCTAGTGAGGGAGATTTTAATTTCACAAATATGATTTGTGAGGGCATGGGTACAAGAGCTAGGCTGTGCCAGTCAGAGGCACCTGCTCCAAACTTTGAAAGTAGTGATGCAGAGAACCCTAAATGAGTGAAAACCCTTAGACAGTCCAGGAGCCTGACTTTCTGGGGTAGTAAAGGCAGTGAGGCTGGCAGTGGCAGAGCTAGTAACAGAAGTGATGTAGGCTACCACATCCATCCCTTATCACAGGGTGACATGATTAGTTCTGGGTTACAAATCTTCCCTGCAAAGCCTCCACATTTCAGTCAATAACTCTCATGGTGATGGTTTAAACCACTTACCAGCCTTTTAATGCTCCCCACATACATCCTGCTTACATCAAGTAGCAGCAGTTTTTATTGCTTTTTACTAAGAAAACTTACTGTTACAGTCACTCCAGGAAAGTATGGGTTGAAGAAAAGCAGTTACTACCTACTTCAGGGGAACTGTAGTGTTTTTTTGTTTTGTTTTGTGTCTAGAATTAAACCCAGGGCCTTGAACATGCTAAGCACATACTCTACCACTGAGCGAGCACCCTTGACCCCAACTGTACTGTTCAAAAGAAGGATGGAAGAGACATGCATGTTTCCCAGAAGCTGAGTTTCAAGAAGAGAAGGGCCAGCTTGGTCACATGCCCCCAAAGGTCAAGTAATACGAAGGTGTTAAGAAGTGCTGATTAGATATGGTGGTATGGAGGTCACTATTGAGCTTACCAAAAGCAATTTCAGTGGCGTGACTGGGACAGCAGCAAGTGAAGTGGTGGAAAGTATGAACAGTTGGTGCATACTTTTTTAGAGCGAAACCTTTTAAGAAGTTGGTTCATGAAGAACAAAAAGTAGGGCAGCACCTGGCTGGGGATGTGCACACTGGCAGGAAAGACCAGTGAATGGTGCTCAAAGAGCCAGCTACTCAATGAGGCTAAAGGGCAGTTCAGGGCCACTGCTGAAAATCACACCATCTTTCTTACATATCAGGAATCTTAAAACTTTTTATGGGCTGGGGATGTGGCTCAAGCGGTAGCGCGCTCACCTGGCATGCGTGCGACCCGGGTTCGATCCTCAGCACCACATACCAACAAAGATGTTGTGTCCGCCGAGAACTAAAAAATAAATATTAAAAATTCTCTCTCTCTCTCTCCTCTCTCACTCTCTCTTTAAAAAAAAAAAAAACTTTTTATGTGTTGTCAATTTGATCTTTCATGTTTCTAAACTTCATTTATGGTTCCTTCTGGTTTTTTTTCTTTTTTTAGTTGTCAATAGATCTTTATTTTATTTATTTATATGTGGTGCTGAGAATTGAACCCAGGGCCTCAAATATGCTACGCAAGTGCTCTACCATTGAGCCACAACCCTAGCCCTGGGTTCTTCTGTTTTAATATATGATCTATTCTTTTGCTCTTCCTTTGACAGTTCCTGGGTTTTGTGTTATGTTTATATATTTAGTAGGGGTTTAAAAATACACTTGGGTTTTCCATTTAGTTTTCATTCATTCATTTAGGATTATTTAAATAGAGCAGGACAGAGATCTAATATTTTTTCCAACCACTAAACTGACATGTTTATTACATATTATTCGAACCCACAGACTGACTTTCTGTTTCTAATTTCTTTATTGTATTCCACTGTTTAGCCATTCCTATGCCCATTCATGTTTAAAGAATTATTGTAGCTGTGTCTTATAATTGTGTCAAGCAAGTCTCCTAGTGSTAGTCGTCTTCATCATCTAATTTATGAACCAATTTAAGGAGATCTGACAGGAGACCTTCCATTCAAGAATGTAATTTAGGAGCTGGGACTGTAGCTCAGTGGCAGTGCTTGCCTAGCATATGAGAGGCACTGGGTTTGATCCTTAGTACCACATAAAAATAAACAAATAAAATAAAAACATACTATCCACCTACAACTAAAAAAAAATGTAATTTTTCTTTCCAGATTTCTGAGTTTTCTTACATCTTTCTGTAAAACTTGTAGTTGTTCCTTTAGTTCTTATACATTCCTTGACATATTTAAGCTTGCACCTGGTAGCCTTCTAGTGTTCTAATTTGATCTGGGGGCCCCATATATCTAGAATAATGGAACTTTATTCCTTAAATACTCTCTCAGCCAGGGTCCCTTCCCCCTCCCATGCTGGGATTGAATTCAGGGCCCACTGAGCTATATCCCCTGCTTTAGATGGGATTTTTATAGGAACTGAATGAAAAATAATTTAGAGGGTTGTAGACTGCAGATTCTCTACAGTGACATGTACATATGTCTAGAAATCAGTATTATTATTTTTTAATATTTATTTTTTAGTTGTAGGTGGACACACAATATCTTTATTTCAATTTGATGTGGTGCTGAGGATCGAACCCAGTGCCTCATGTGTGCTAGGCGAGTGCTCTACCACTGAGCCACAACCCCAGCCCCTAGAAATCAATATTATTTTAATAGGAAGGTAGAAATGTCCTCACCCAAATGAAAAGCTGTGCCACTTCCACACCATGAGGATAAGCTAAGATGCTGAAAGGAACTTTTGTTAGGCCTAAAATCCAAGTATTCTCAGACGCTGAATTTTTCAGGTTTAGCATTATCAGCTTCTAAACCTGAAAGCATCAAAGAAAAGTATCAGGAACCTTTCTGTAATTCCTTCCTAGCCTTTTATACCAATTCAATCATGTACCTACTGGCTCATGAAAACAAAATAAACCTAATGTCTGAGCCTGCCCAGGACAGCCAAAGGTCTCTATCTGGCTTTGTTCCTCCATGCTAAGAATATTCTTGTTCATATTCTTTGTTCCGTTGGCATATTCTCCAGATGTTTATGTGTGCACTCTCCAGTACTGAATCCTGGGGTACTTGTTTTCCTCTGGCTTAGTTTATTCTTTAATTTGTGCACTGCCCATTGCCTCCAGCATATATTTCCTCTTCCAGCCTGTGATCATGGAACCTAGTCTTTGTCCCCAACCAATCACCTGGCATCTGGATGGATGAGCTTATCCAGAACAGTTGATTCTGAGCTGTAAGGCTTTATAAAGGTGTCAGCCAAGGTGAATGAGGGGCAGTGTGCATCAGGATGACTAAATGAGTTGATCTGCCTTCATGGGGCTAGGTAATGAGACCACAGAGTGTTGGTGAATGTCTGCCAAAGACAATTTTTAAAATTTTAATAGTTAATATTATACTTTTGTTTTTGTTCTTTTGGTGAGGGAGCCGGGGGTAAATACTGGAGATCAAACCCCAGGACCTTGCAAATGCTAAGCATGCACTCTACCACTGAGCTATATCCCCAGCCACTCTGTTTTATCTGGTTACTACCCATCCCCCACCCCAAACCCATCTCTCTTAAGATCACTGTAAACTATGATTTTCCCTCTTGAACTCTTAAACTCCCAGGAGCAATAATAACATCCAGCTCACATCATAAGAGATGCTCATTATCTGTTGACTTATTTTCCAACAGCCAAATAGAGAAAAAGCTGGCAAAATCTTAACCAGCTATATGACTATATAAAAAGAAACACTGTAGACCTATTGAGTAATGCATTTGCCAAAATATCTGATTGTTCCTACAGTTGACACACAGAATTCATAAATGAGTAGAAATGTAAGTGTATTGTCAATTCATTTATTATAGGAAAGGTCTATTCATAGTAAAAAAATAATTTATAAAAAATCTTATGTTCACTTGCTATAGTTTAAATTTAGTGTTCCCCAAGAGTTCATGTGTTGGAAACATGGTCCCCAGTACAGCAGTGTTGAGGTGGGACCTTTGGAAGATGACTGGGTCATGAGGGCTGTGCCTCATGGGAGTGGCTTTGTTAAGCTCTCTGGCATGCTTGCTTTGTCTTGCCATGTGATGCCGTCCTCCATGTGCATAAAGAAGGTCCTCACCAGTTGCCAGCACCATGTTCTTAAGATGTCTTAGCCTCCACCAAGAGCTAAATAAACCTCTATTCTTTATAAATTATCCAGCCTGTGGTATTCAGGTATAGCAACAGAAAATGGACTAAGATATCACTGAAAGTAGAAATATATATTGACTAGGCCACTATCCATCATATTTTTTTTGTATGCTTGTTATGAAAAATGTCCACTGTTGTTTCATGACATGGCCTCAGGTCAAAATCATGGTATCCAAGGGGAAAACGACCCTAGGAAGAAAAATACATATAGATAAAAGTTATACAAAAACAGCACTAAACACGAACTCATAAAATTATGTCCTACCTGCAGTTTCTTTCTTTTTCCTTTTTTTTGCTATCAGGAATTGAGCCTAGGGCACTTAACCACTGAGCCATATCCCTGGCGCTTTTAATATTTTATTTAGACATAGGATCTCGCTATGTTGCTAAAGTTGGCTTTGAATTTGGCAATCCTCCTACCTCAGTCTTCCAAGCTGCTGGGATTATAGGCATTTGCCACCATGCCTAGCTTCCTACCTGCAGTTTCTTAAAATAATCAAGTCCCCTTCCGATCTTAATCATCCATCCATTGTTGAACCTATTGAAATTAATATAGAGTATTATATTCAAGGCATTAAAGTCAGACAATTATTAAAGCTGTATTGTGTTAAGTATGAGCAAAATTTCCCCCTAACCAAGAAAACCACTTCCTCTAATGACACAAGTTCAATCTAACCTGGGGTTAATCATGGGCTCTGTCTACAATGAAACAAAAGGACCACAGAAATAATTAGCTGATTTGATTAGCTATTAAAAAATCTAACAATTAAATTAAAACTTATTCTTGAATTTCAGCTTGTTGATAAAATTTCCCTGTTCTGCTAACAAGTGGTTACCAAATATATTCAGGGAAGCTGTCGGTCAAGGGATCGGGGTGTTCTGGGGGTTTCCCCACCTGCAGATGGTGCAAGTGAGCAGGAAGAGTCCTGGACCCTTACCCCTGTTGCAACCTCAGCAACTGTATTTTCATCTGTTCTGCATATTTAAGTTAATTTTCATTAAAAATAAGGGTGCTATTGCTATCATTATGAAAACCACTGTTCTAAACAGAGGGAAAATATTATAAAAATAACTGCATATACTGTTTTCTTATTGACTCAGCATACTACTGTGTCTATCAAAATATTTACTTACCAACTTTAAGGAAAACCACACTAAATATTAATTTCATTAGAAAAGGAATTATTTCAATATCATAATACTTAATGTACCATGCAGAAAAGCAGTACTGCCTCTTCTCACATGACACAGAACATGTAAATTCAAAGTTAGGAAATATTATACTCACAGAACAAAGTAAGCTAAGGTTTTCCTCTTTTCAAAAGTGAAATTACTAGAACTGAGCTTTATTTGAATTCTGAATATTTAAATATAATATTCACATGCAATTATGACATTTATTAAGAAAAATTTAAAACATATATTTCAATTGTATAAAAATAAAAATACTGTTCACTAACCTAATTTCTCGGTCATGTATTGAAGAAGAGTATTCTATTTCCAAAAGCACTCCATGTCTACTGAGTGACATTTTTATTTCTTCTAGGCCATTTCTTTGTGACTCTTTCACATACCCCTGCTAAGAGCAAAAATATAATTTGCTACCTTATTTATTAATATTTTAAATTATCCCTAAGCTATACAATGAATATTGTATAGATAGATTAATATGAAAAGGTTCTATAGGTGGTCACACAGCATTAGCTGTGGACACAGGTTATCATGTATTATGAGTTGAGTGACTTCATGCAGAAGTTGGCTGGAGTTTGGGCTTAAGAGGCCTACAAGTCTGCGGGATCTTCAAGATTAAGATGTATCTTTCTTTTTTCTTAATTTTTTTTTAGTTGTCGATGGACCTTTATTGTTTATTTATTTATATGGGGTGCTGAAAATCAAACCCAGTGATTCACACATGCTAGGCAAGCGCTCTGCCACTGAGCCACAACCCCAGCCCCCAGATTAAGATGTATCTTTACTGTGTGTATGAAGTTTCTAAAGTCCACTCAGGTGAGATATTCCATGGATTAAGGCCTCTGGTTTCCAGAGAAGAGCCACCTATCATATTTGTCATGCCATCTAAACTGACCACCAGTCCCATTGAATATGATTGTGCTGGGAAGAACAAAGTTCCAGAGATACAGATTTTCCAGGAATCCAATGGTGTGCACATCCACCGGAAATGAGGACTGCTTGACTGAATGCTTCACTGGAGCTGCATGGCGGAAACTATGGGAGGGACCATCTACTGCCTGATAACCCTGTATAAAATTTCACCGCCCAAAAACAGATGAGTTGGGCTGGAGAAGATTGGTTTGTCTTTTTTGGCATAAACCCTTTAAATTTTCATTTTTCATGGTTTCTGTACTTTTTTTCCTACTTTGATGGTTTACTCAACTTTTTACAAAAAAAAAAAGATATGAAGACAGTATTTTGGTTTGTTTATATATGTGGTCTTCAAAAGTCAGAGCTCATTTGACAGTTAAAATTATTGTTTATATAAATGTACGTACACACACACATACACACACACACACGAGTGGTTTTTTTGTTTGTTTGTTTGGTGGTGCTGGGATTGAACCCAGGGCCTTGTGCATGTGATACAAGCACTCTACCAACTGAGCTATATCTCCAGCCAAAATTATTTTTTATAGAAATGATGCTGTGCTCTGTGTTTTGAGCTCCTGACTTCCCTGGAGGTACTACATGAAGGTTGCACATGGGCTCATTAATGTCCGTCTGTGCTGAGGAATGAATTTTTCAGCATGGAATGCAGAAACCTTCTGGATTTGGATGTGACCAAGGAAGACAGAATTCAAGGCCAGGCACAGGAAATGAAGGATCTGAATTAGTAGTCACTTTGGAAATTTTTTCATCTTATAGTAAAATATTAACAGAAAAATATTTGCAGCATGCCTCTGCTCATTGGGCAGTTTGTTTCGAAGAATTATTTGCCTGATTCCAGATCTTTAGTGAAATTTTATGTGTAACTGTCATGCATTTATTCCACTATGGGACAAAGAGAACAACTGTTCAGTGTTGCACCTTAGACTAGTATCTGTCTTGTTAACACCACAAATTCTCCTTTATCTTTTAAAATGTTATAACTTTACAAACCCAGAAGGTCAAGAGTTGTATGTTTTATCTTATATATGAACACTAGAAAGGAAAAAAGAAAAGGGAGAGTGGGAATCTCATGAAAATTGGAGGGAGATCAGTAGAACAGAGGAAAGGGACCTGGGGTAGGGAGGAGAGAAGAGTGGAAACACTGGGGAATGCCACTGACCAAATTATATTGATACACTGTATGCATGTACAAACATGTAACAACAAATTCTACCAGTACGTACAGCTATAATGTACCAATTAAAAATGTGGAAAAATTATGGCTTTAAATTATGACTTATTTTGAGTGAGGAATAAATACATGAATGAAAAAAAGGTTCTATTAGTTTCTATATCTGTTATAACAAGTTAACTCAAGATTGTGAAGTTGTTTCGAAAACAATAGTTTTTATAAAAATAACTGTTCTTTTTCTAACATGAACATTCACAATTCCAACTTGTCTCCTTATATGTATTTTAGTAATTATCTTTAGGTCATTCAAGTGGGGCTGCCTACTTATTCAAGTAATCCTGGAAATCATGATTATTTAGAAAAACTACTACTTAGGTCAAAATAAAAATAGAGGGGCTGGAGATGTGGCTCAAGCGGTAGCGCGCTCGCCTGGCATGCGTGCGGCCCGGGTTCGATCCTCAGCACCACATACCAACAAAGATGTTGTGTCTGCCGAGAACTAAAAAAAATAAATAAATATTAAATAAAAAAAAAAAATAAAAAAAATAAAAATAAAAATAGAGATGCCTTCTATCATGCTGCTAATCCCAGGTAAAGAGACAAAACTGCCCAAAGTGCAGACTGCATGATCACCTCCAAAACACGGAACTAACAAACTACCTGAACTAACAGAGGTCAGCAAAATGGCCAAATAAGGTCAACATCCTAAAATCAACAGCATTTTTCTCAAGATATGCTATGCTTATTATTTAGATAATAAGTTCAATTTCAAGGAAATAAATCTAACCAATACAGTGCATCAAGGTTTTCCTTAATCAGACTATACCTTGTAACTGAATAAAATTAGTAAGTTAAGAAAGTTCTTCCAGATACTTACCTTATCTAGAGAGGTGAGAAGGTGAATAGTTTTTACATTACATGGTTTCTTAATAAGCATCTCACAAAATCGAAGTAAGTTATATAGCTGAAAGACAGCAAGATGGGTTATTAATAGCTAGTATAGTTATACCTTGGTATTCTGGGGCACTGGTTTCAGTGACCCCCACCATACTAAAACCCATGGTTGTTCAAGTCCTTTATATAAAATGTTGCAGTATTTGCACAGAATATCTGCGTACCCTCCTAAATACTTTGAATCTGTAGATACTTATAATAGCATTACCTAATACAATGTAGATCCTATGTAAATAGTTGTTTCACTATTTTGCTTAGGGAATAATGACAAGAAAAAAACTTGGGAATATTCTATACAGACGTCAAATTATTGGGGGGTGGAGCACCAGGGTTTGAACTCAGGGGCACTCAATCACTGAGCCACATCCCCAGCCCTATTTTGTATTTTATGTAGAGACAGGGTCTCACTGAGTTGCTTAGTGCCTTGCTTTTGCTGAGGCTGGCTTTGAACTTGTGATCCTCTTGCCTCAGCTTCCAAGCCACTGAGATTACAGATGTGTGCCACCATGCCTGGCATATGTCAATTTTTTAAAAGATATTTTCAACTTCCTTTGAATCTAGATGTGCAACCCACAAACATGGATGGCTGGTTATACATTTAAAATAACATTTCATTATAGTTTAGTGTATTTCACTTACCTGATGAATCTGTCTAATATAAGGATCTTCTATCCAAACTTCTGTAACTGTCTCATTAAGGTATTCTTTAAAAAGTGTCTCATAACTGAATCCTGTCGCATTCTCTTCTATTTTAATTTGCTTGTGATATTTTCCATCTATAAGACACAAGCTTCAGTAATATAAATTTTTATACATTTTATATTTCACATAGTGATTACTCATGATCAATTACAAATTAATTTTTAAACTTATTCTCTCAAAAAATATTTATTGAATGTCTATTCTGTACATATTACAAGATGCTACATATACAGAGGTAAATAAGACAAACCACTCCATGAGTGATTCTATCTTCATTAAGGTAGGAAGGGGAAATTCCAGAGGTTTCTTGGAACAGGTTTCTGAGCTGGATCCTATAGAGAAAAAAGTTTATTCGAGGGAGTACTGTATGTACAAAAGCATCCCATTAGATAACTTTTTGTTACCATGGATAAAATCACAACTAGTAGCAGCTGGTCCTCTTCAGACTTATCTTTTTTTTTTTTTTGGGGGGGGTCTTGCAATTTAATAAATTATTAAATACAAACAGCATTAACAGGACATTCAGAAGGCTTTCTTAGCACTAAAAGATGTTGTTGTTTTCTCTCTCTTTTTAATCTTTTGTGCTGGCAATTGAGCCCAGAGCCGTGTATCTGCCAATCACACTACAGAATGTTTTAAGTGGAAACTTAGAGTACAACTTAATAATTCAAGTGAAAGACTGGCAATGTCACATGATCAATAGGATAATTCTATTGGTGTTACTAATTTTTGAATAAGTTATCGGAGAACTTTAAAGTTTTTAAAAAATATAACCCTACTGGTAATTTTTAACTTATGTGCTATTGCACTATACACCTTCTCTAAAGTGGTTTGGCCCCTCTGCAGAGTAGTGTTTAGAGGCACTCAGAATGGCCCATTATTTGATGTACTATTGTAGGCTTTCCTAACAAAGCCTACAAAACCAGGCTATACCCAAACCCTGGGAACAGAATTGTTTACTTTTGTACGAAGAAGATTGGGAAAGCACCAAAATCTTCCTGTGGCACATGTCCAGGTGCTGTGAAACCTAAAGTTCTAATGAGATTGAAATGATAAAACAGGTCAGCAGGGTCTAAGTTGGTGTTGGGTGCTAAATGTGTCAATGAAAAGACAAGCATGTTTTCTTAATGAGGAGCAGAAATTTGTTGTGAAAGTGTTGAAAGCAAAAGCACAGAGTCAGCTAAATAAAGGGAAAAAAAAGAAGCTTTTTAAAGTCAAAAAAAATAAATAAATAAAAGCTGGGCTAGGGTGTGGCTCAGTGGTAGAACACTTGCCTAGCGTGTTCAAGGTCCTGGGTTCAACTCCTAGCACTATAAACAACCAACCCCCAGGCAATTMGCGCGCGCGCGCGCGCRCRCACACACACACACACACACACAGTTGTGATTTGGATTCTGTTCCAAATATTTCCACAGAGATAATGTCAGCAAATATGCATAAATTTTCAAGGCATACTAGTCATATAAGTTATCTTAACTCAGTGCTGATGTGGTATTATATTTCATTGTTTTGGAGGTAAATTTCATTCTATATTTGAACTGGTGGTGAAGAAAGTACAGTTTTATTTCCACTCAAACAGTTCAGTGGGAGTCTGCAGGATATGTCAGTACAGAACATTAGGAAGAGCTGGGCAGTGGATTGTGAGAATGTGGAGGAAAATCAACTAAGGACTGAGGACACTATTTTTGAGGGCTGCAGAACCACTGGCCCTAGAGTGCACTTCAGATAAGAGTGGCAATGCCCATTTATACAGATGTCTGTAAACTGGATCTTATGAGTAGGGAATTAAAATCTCACCTCTAATCATTAGGAATACATAACTCTTGAAATATTTTGATTCACAATAAAATCGGAAAGAAGTCCCAGGAGTTTCTTTGGCTACTGTAATGATTTTAGACTTTCAAATAAAATCCAGGATCCATATTCAGTATTTCTCTGTAGTAGTTCTTAAACTGGGTTCCATACACAAGCTTCCTGGGGATCTGCACATTCCTTTTTAAAAATGGCAAAGTTCTGCAGTATGTATAGCTTTCATCAGAAGAGCAAAGGGGGAAAGCACCAAAATCTTCCCGTGGCACATGTCCAGGTAGACTTCAGGAGATTCGTGCTGTGAAACCTAAAGTTCTAATGAGATTGAAATGATAAAACAGGTCAGCAGGGTCTAAGTTGGTGTTGGGTGCTAAATGTGTCAATGAAAAGACAAGCATGCTTTCTTAAAAAAAGGTTAAGATAACTTCAATACAGGGAAGAGGAAATGCAGAGTAAATCTATAATCTCCCAGGCTCAAACAGTCCATACCACACAGAGGTCCAAAGGACAAAAGCCAGAAATACTGAGTAAATAGAATATATTACTGTAACTTACAGACACATTTTCTTTCTACTGGTTTTTTTTTTTTTTAGTTCTGGGGATTGAACTGAGGGCCTCACATATGCTAGGTTAAGGAAGCACTCTACTACCAAGCCACACCCCAGTCCTGGACACATTTTCTGAAAGTAGTCTTTTTACCTTCTTTTTCTTGATCCACATATTTTTTTATGTTTTCTGCTCTATCCATGTAGCCTGAAATTTTTTCTCTGAGAGTACGTTTTTTAGCATCATCTTTGGTCCCTATAAATTAAAAAAAACAAAAAAACTCAAGTCTCAAAACAGTTTTTCTATTTAGTTCAAACATTATGTCCAGTTTCCCCAAAATTTCCTATTTTAGCACTGTTTGTCTTAGTCCTAAAATATATAGATGTTAAGCTCAAATTCAGCTTGATGCAGGATATTCACTTTTAGTAAACACCTGAAGCAGCTTTGTTTAGGAATGGGTCTCTGATGCTATCACCCACGGGAAACCAAATCTGGTGGGCTGAGAAAGATACCTTCCTACATATTAAACCTGAGTCCAAGCACTGTTTTGTCCTAATTACCCACAAGTTTTAAATTTTAGCATAATTAAAAGATAACAAGAAGTATCTTCCATAAAACCAACTTCTTTCAGACAACTTCATTTATAATTAGCTCAATTATTTTCTCAGCCACCCCGCAAAAAAAAAAAAAAATGTTATGTTGACCATGTTGCCAAAAAAATCTTATCTACCCCACCGAATCATTTCTGATTTCTTCTTTTCCTTCCTTCGACATTGCTTATATTTTCCATAATAGTTTCATTTTTAATTTCTCATTTTTTTAGCAAACTTTATTTGAATTTTACCAATTTTTCGACTAATGTTTTCTTTCTTGGAAAAATAAGTCTGCATTTGCCCACTCAATTTAATTACTTGCCATTTGGTCTTTAGGAATGAAATATTTCTAAGTGATTTCAAAAGCTAAGCTCAGCAATATAGTAGTCTTTTCTAGTTGTACAAAAGTAGTAGTCCTTTCTTAGTCATCATCTTTGATCAGCTGGCAATGGTAGACAGTGTAGGCAACCCTTCAATCATCATGCTTTGATTTTCCAAGGCTTGAAACTCTACAGTTATCTTTGATTGCCAATGAAACTTCACCCCCACATCCAATCATGTGCCAATGCTAGTAATTCAACATCTATACTGTCCCCTCCTTATCCTAATACTGATTCCATCTTTGGTTCATTCAGGCCCTATCACTTCTCCTTGGAATACCAGGAGGAACTCTCATTTGTCTGTTGGAATCCAGGGTCTATAGGCTAATATCTATCCTACACCCTTAGCATATTCAGTCATTTATTCAAGAAATAATTAGTGAGAACTTAACTACCTTCCAGACATTGTTCTAAGCACTGGGAATACAGCGGGTAATAAAAGAGACAAAATTCTCCCCTTTAAGTGGGAAGAAAGACAACAATAAAAATAAATTGTTAAAATACGTTCAATAGATTATGATAAGTGCTATTAAATTAAAAAAAAAAGAAGGCAGACAGGGAGGGCTAGGATGGGGTTGTAACTTTATACTGGAGATCAGGGAAAGCCTCACAAAGGTGTTATTTGTGTAAAGGCCTGTAATAGGAGAGGGAGTGTGTCATGAAAATACATGAGAGAAAGCATATTCCTAAGAAATACTAACACTGAAATACAATTGTAATACTGTCATTCTCCTAGCCTACAGAATGAGTCCAGTGTGATCCAAACCTCTAGCTACTTTAAACTTTTATTTTTTTCTCACCCTTCCTCATACAAACACTGAACCAAACTCAACTATTTATTGGTAAAACAGCCCAAAAACATGCCTATTCTTAGCTGAATTTCTGACCTCTGGAATTCTTTTTCCTCCAAATCCTCTACCAAACACCTCCTCTACCTTTCTATCCCCATACGACATTTACCTGTTTAAATCCTCATTGCACTTGTCTCTCTCTCCAGACACATTCTCTACATTAAAGTTATTTGCATTGAGGTCTTAAACKGTCTCTGTCATGTCCTGTTTCTGTAATGGCTCTGCGATCAATGAAGCACATTGGAGCAGAACTCCTATGATTCTCCTGTTTCAGATTCCTACAACAGCCAGGACTTCAGCAGGGTTCCACCTGACACTATACCATTTCTCATTTTGTGATTCAGTATAGAAGTCATGAAAGCCTTGGGCTCCACTTGTGGTACTACCATCTCCTAGTGGCAGAACTTGAAAGCTAACTACTCTTCCATGCAATGAAATTAGAATGCCATCAACTCATGATTCATAGAACAATATTAATTATGAAACCAGACCTCACCATCATTATCATCGTCGCCATTAAATAAGCTCTACAAAGGTGTTTAGAGTTTTGGGAAAAAAAAAAAAAGGCACCAAACTTTGAAGGAAACCCTCTGCTCTCTTAAAGCTTCTATAAACTTAAATTATAACAAGCTTCAACCAGAAAGCACCCAGGAAATCATCTTAGACCACACTGGGGCTCCTGGATTGGGGTGTAGGGGCTAGTCAATTTACTACCTAATTATTGGGTGTCTTCTATGAGTCAGGGTTGTGCTGAGAGTAAAGGAATTTTGAGTTACTTTTCAATAATGAATAACTATATAACACAAAAATTCTCATGTATCTACCTATAACCCTGTGTATTTGTTATACTGAATTTCAGTACATCTATTTAGGAAAAAATATTATTTTTGTTGTTTTAATGAAAATGTTCAAACAAAATGTTTAAACAAAAAAGCACAGTACTATAATGAACATATTAATTATCCATTATTTGGATTTTAAAAACTGTTAGCAGCTTTGCCTATTTATTTATTTATTTATGCTGGGAATTGAACCTAGGGCCTCCAGCCATGTTGGGCAAGTGCTCTACCACTGAGCTACACCCCCAACCCCAACTTTTTTTTTTTTTAATACTTTTAAGTTGTTGATGGACCTTTATTTTATTTATTTGTATGTGGTGCCGAGAATCAACCCAGTGCCTGACGCATGCCAGGCAAGCGCGCTACCACTGAGCCACAACCCCAGCCCCCCTAAACTTTTAAAAAAATTTTCTTGCTTAAGTAAAATTAATACTGATGTCACAACATTTCTTTCTGAAACACTTCAGTCTGCATCTCTAAATATTGACAGTTTTCAGGGGGAAAAAATGCTTAACAAAATCAGTAATTTCAGTGTCACCGAATCCACCGAAACTTTAACTGATCGAAAATGTCTCTTAAAGTTCGTTCAAACCCACCTACCATCTATCAAGGATTATACAGTAATTTTGTTATGTCTCATTAAGTGTTTTAAAATCTAGAATAGTACCTCCCCCATTTTCATGATGACATCAATCTATCACAGACATAAAGAAGAAACCAGGGACTAGGGTTGTGGCTCAGTGGTAGCGCGCTTGCCTGGCATGCGTGAGGCACTGGGTTCCATTCTCAGCACCACGTACAAATAAATAAAATAAAGGCCCATCAACAACTAAAAAAATAATTATAATACAAAAGAGAGAGAGAGAGAGAAGAAACCAGCCCATTTGTCCTGTAGACATCCCACCTTCTTATCTGTTTCCTGGTGGTGTAGAAGAATCACTTTCAGGTTTCATTTCACTGCAGACAAAGCGGAAATCGAAACTTACGGTCCTTATGCCCTCCGAGGCTCACAGCTCACCTTTCAGAACCTGCAGGAGCAGGTCAATCCCCTCTTGGTAGCACACAAGAGCTTGCTGGTACCGAGACTCCGAATCTAGTTCCACYGCCCGTTTTAGCACAGTGGCCGCAGCGGTGCTCTCCGAACCCAGCGCCACCCCGGGCTTGGCCATAATTACAAGAACTCGGCTCAGCCTACCCGGGTCAGCCGCGCTGCCCGGAAGCTGTCACGTGACGTCGTGCGCCTGCGCTCTCTCCCTATGCTCATTCTTCAGCGGGAGGGATTGAGATCTGTAAATAACACGCCCTTCCCCGGAACCAAAGGGTCGCACGCCTTGCGACGGAAAGGTTTGAGTGGCGCGCTGGGTAGTCCTTCCTGCGCTCGGTTTCCGCGGTGGGGCACCTCAGGGTTCGCTGTTAGCGGGCGCTGGTGAGTCTGGAATAAGTGGTGTGAAATATTTGATTTTTCACCAAGAGCGTGTATCTGGGAACTCTCTGTGGCKTGCGATTGATTTCTCCCTGTTCCATTTTGATTTGGCGACTATATGGGCCTGTTCCCCAACCCCGTCTCTTTGGCTTGTGAAAAGCCATTGAGCCATTGCTGGTTCCAGGGGACCCGGCCCGGCCCGGCCCGGCCCATGAGTGCTCGCTGACTCCTGGAGCTGAACCACCGAAGCTGGACTGCTTGGGAAAGGGAATTCAAGTTTGTTTTAGCATTTTCTGTGCTTCTGCTATATTCGTAACTTATGGGCATGGGCTCCAACTGAAGATCAGTCCAGCTTAATTTTCTAAAAATGAAGACAAAATTGCCCTATTTTTTAAGATTGTTGCATCTTAGAATGCAAACCTTTGGGAGCTGGCAGTTATTTGCCAAAAACTTTTTTTTTTTTTTTTTGCAACCATGTTTTTATCGTCACCTACCAAAAGTTGCTTCTGTCTTTTTTAGACAAGAGGCAGTTGTGAGGGCTGCCTACTACTAGTTAGGCGCTAGTTGAGAGAAGAGAAATACATTTCTTGTCTTAAGAGATCTTGGTTTATTGAAAGGGAAATTCCGTGTTCTATATTTTTAATTAATGTTTTTCCCTCATATACTTAAATGCATGTCTCTTTATATATTTTTTCTGTGCATTATAATTATACATAATAGTGGGATGTGTTTTTATACATTCGAACATGCGCACGACATAGCATAGTTTGGCCAGTGTCATTCCATGTCTTGTCTCTTTAGAAGAAGAAATCGTCTTTTAAGAGAACCGCTACATGCATGGTGAATGCTTTAAAAACAAACAAACAAAAACTATCAGATATTACAGGACATAAAAAGAACAGTTACCATGGTAGCCTACCCCATAGGGGTATACTAGTTTTTGATAAGTTTCCAAAGTTTTTAAGAATAGAAAGGGTTCTCGTATCTCATAGGAAGCATGGTATTTTTCTGTTTCTGCGGCTGTGCAAGAGAATAGTTATTATACAGTGGAAGACTGTATAATTACTTTATAGTCCAAGAGTGCYTTATAAGAATAATCTTTACTTCATTAATATGTAACTTTGGGGGGTGCAGCTCACTGGTAGAGTTCTTAGCATGTATGAGCACTCAGTGGGGGAAAAGACATAACTTTTGACTGTCACATCTGATGTCTGTAATTTCATTCAGCAAAAACATATCAAATGCCTGCAATGAGGCAGATGCTGTTTTAGGAAGAAGATTGGAATATATCTGTGAGTAAAACAAACCAGAAATAACAAAACTAAAAATGATTCTCTTTTGGAAGTAACATGGAGACAAATACTAAACAACAAAACTTACAATTATATTAAGACTCTGACATGCTATGGGGAAAATATCAAGTAGAATAGAGAGGTTGGGAGTACTAACAGTTGTGTGGGTAAAATGTCAAATAATGTGACCAGGGCAGATCTCATTGAGAAAATGAGATTTGAACCCCAAATTGAAAAAGGTGAAGGGATTAGCCATGTTGGGATCCTTCCAGTTCAGGGGAGGATGCCTGCTTGGCTAGATGCAGGGCAAGCAAGGGGCGGCTTGTCTAAATGGTTAAACAAGAGTAATTAGAGATGGAGGGAGTGAGGGTAGGGGAGGGAGTTAAGGGCTTTGTTTTTCACTGTGATTAAATGGAGAGGCACTGGAAATTTTTAAATTTTTAATACATGAGCTTTATATTTGAATAATTTTGAATTTCCAAAATAGTTGTGAAGATAGTGCAGAGTTCCTATATGTGCCACGTCCATTTCTAATCATATATTAGTATGGTACATTTAKTAACAACCAGTGAACCAATATTGATACACTATTAACTAAAATCCATACTTATTTTATGCAAATTTCCTTTGTTTTGTCCAGTGTCCTTTTTATTTCCAGGATCCCATCTAAAATACTACATTACTTTAATGATCTTATCTCCTCAGATTTTCCTTGACAAGTTTCTTATACTTTCTTTGTTTTGGATGACCTTGACAGTTTTGAGGCTGTTAGGTATTTGAGGAGATACCTGTCAAGTATTTTGCACAATGTCCCTCAATTGGAGTTTGTTGTTTTTCTCTTAGAGTGGGCCTATGGGTTTGGGGGGAAACAAACAAACAAACATGGAGGTAAAGTGCCATTCTCATTACATCATATCAAGTGTACATGCTAACAACTTTACTGTTTTCACTGTTGATGTTAATTAACGTTGATCAGCTGGCGGGGGTAGTATTTGTCGGGTTTTTCTTCTATGAAGTTATTTTCCCCTTTTCTGTACTGTACTCATTGGGAGCAAGTTACTAACCATAGCCCACAGTTAGGAGTGAATAGTTCTGCTCTACCTCCTTGTAGTGTCCTCATAAATTACATAGAATTCTTCTATACAGGACATTTGTTGTTTTATTAATTTATCCACTTATTTGTATTGTATGGGCTTATTTATATTTTGGTTCAGGCTATAAGCCAATTATTTGTTACTCATTTTTTTTTTTTTGGTAGTCTTTTTTTTTTTTTTTTTTGGTCACTCTAAGATGTTCCAAACATTATCAGCCATCTCTTGAGGAGACCTGCTTCCTTTTGTTAGATAATGCTACTAGAAACCAAGGTCTGGGTGAGTTTGTTCATTGCTACTGGGTGTTATTGATTTTAGGTTCTCTCAATTAACAAAGCTAACCCATGTATATACTTACATATATAATTATTTTCATGTGCTTCACTGCTTATGTAAAGCTAAATGTTGATTTCCAAATGAAATCCAGTATAGCCTTCCTTCTTAAGTGTGACCYCCCTCTTCAGTGGTTTTGAGCAGAGTGACGTTATTTAACAAGATAACATACAGCTGTTATGGGAAAAGACATGAGGGGAGTTGGAATGGAAGTCAGAAGGTCAGTTCAGGATTTTGTTGAAAATGAGAAAGGAAAGATTTAATAAAGTACAAAGTTAAGTGAGTAAGATTAGTATATAACCCTTAGCCTGGGAGGAATAAGTATGACAAAATAATTTAGCATTAGATTTCAGTTGCTGAGCAGTTTTCCTGAGGTCTGGCTCTTTTCAGGGACATCTTGGGTGATTCTCAAACTTCCTCTACATCATAGGAAGAGTTTGAGTGTGCTAGAAACTGATGGACACTGACAACACATACCCTATCTTAGTGTATACAGTATTCATATTAGCTTCATAATAATTTAATAATCTTATAATAATAAAAGCTACAATTTATTGAGGGTTTCTCATGCGGCAGGTACTGTTTCAAGTGCTTTATAGAATAATTTATGTGAAAGATGGGTATTATTCTCTTTTCTGGGCAAGAAATTGAAACACAATTTAAATACTCTCTTTAAGATAGATACTTCATGAACCTAATCTTTCTGCTTTCAGTGTCCATCAATATAGTAGACTAACTGTTCCATGTCTAACTAGATAACATGATCTTTTTACATAACAAAAGCAATGCATGTGTGTTTAGAATCATTCAAAAATACAAATAAGCAAAAGTGAGACTTTACTTCTTTTTAACAAAATTATTCTGATTTAGTGAAAGCGTATAGTACTAGGAATTAGGAGAATTGGGCTCCAGAACACATATTGTTTTTTTTTTTTTTTTTTTTGAGAGAGAGAGAGAGAGAATTTTAATATTTATTTTTTAGTTTTCGGCGGACACAACATCTTTTGTTTGTATGTGGTGCTGAGGATCGAATCCGGGCCACACACATGCCAGGCGAGCGCGCTACCGCTTGAGCCACATCCCCAGCCCAGAACACATATTCTTGATGGCTGGATGACATTGGAAAACAGATTGAACTTTCTGTTTTTCTATGACAAAGCATTCTTTATCTGCCCTCATTACTGAAGATGTTTCAAATGACAGTAAACTCCCATTTCTCCATTTTGTGAAATCAGCCAAGGCTCTAACTCAYTGGACAAAAAAGGGATGTGGTTAATGTATAATTACCACCTGTGGTTTTGCTGAATCTGAATGAAATACTATAAATTAATTCTTGTTCTTATGTTAAAATAAAATTTTACTGGTAAACTTCTATCAGGTTTACAATTAATGTGCTGACTTGTTGGTTAACACTAAAAAAGGGGGTCCTGTCCATTTCCAGGACTTATTTGACTGATAGGTCTGCTTTCTACTTTTCACAGCTGCTAAAGAGAACAATCACTACGCTTATGGCAGGGATTTTACACTCAGTAGTTCAGAGGCCCCCAGGCAGGCTACAGGTAAGTGTTTCTTTTCAAGAATTTTTTTGCCCCTACTCCTTAATATTTTTTCTTTTCTAATTACAAAAATATACAGTGATGTTAAAGTCTACAAAAAACTTTTTTTGCAGAGTTTTTTTTATATTAATTTTTAATGTTGGGGTTAATTTTGTTTGTTTATGGTTYATCTCAGTTTTCTCTCTTCGGAATCATAGCTAAGTGTGGTACACTTGAGTCCCARTCACTTGGGAGGCTGGGGCTGGAGGATAAGCTTGGGCCTGGGGATGAGCCTATAGGTTTGAGAACAGCCTATTGAGACCCTGTCTCAAAATCAAATTTGGAACCATAAAACAATTTTTCCTGAGAAAATTCCAATGAAAATCGACTACCATTGATTCCCCTTGATCTGCCTTAAATTTCCTAAAGTTATAGAGATTTTTTTTTCCCTTCAGTTATGAAAAGAGTACATTTTTGCCAGTATAGTGGTACACACATGTAGTTACAGCTACTTGGGAGTCTGAGGCAGGAGAATCACAATCACAATCAAAATTTTAAAAATAAAAAGGGTTGAGGATGCAGCTCAGTGGTAGATAAGTATATAAATAAAGAAAAGGCAAACAAGGAAGAATATATTATTTCAATCATAGAAAATTAGAAAAATATAGAAAAAACAAGAAGAGAAACAATCTTCCAGATACCATTAATGGTAGTAGTTTTATGTACATCTTTCATTCTTTCTTTTAGAAAGTTCAATGGTGTAGCTTAATCTTTACCTGAGGCCCCAACAAGATAGCCCTAGATATACACTGGGGTCTCCATATGGATCTATATACAACTAGTTAAAGATGATAACAATGTCAGTTTCTTTATATACATTATCTTAACTGCAGATTAATTCTGTGAAGTCAGTATTATTTCCTTCTTGGTACCAAGGAAATCATCCTCCAAGAGAATAAGTATCTCATTTCTCACAGTTGTAGGTAGCAGAATCAGGATTAGAAGCCCATTGTTTTTTCTACTTAACTTGTCCCCTTTGGCCTATTTTCTAGTTRTTTATGCCATCCTTGCAATAAAGGGAAGGCTGAAAAGGAATGACAGGAGTGACTTGCCAATCCTCAAAGCACTGTCTATGTGAAAGGTTGCCAATTAATCCTTTTTCTTCAGTAGTCTGAGAAARAGAGGATTGGAGGAATACAGAGTAGAACAAGAGATAGGAGCTAGGAGTGAAGGCATTATGAAAACCAGAAAGAAAATGGGAAACTCTTTTTTTGGATTTCTTTTACCTTTTTTCTTTTTTGGGGGGTGGGGTGGGATGGGGCATATGTGCCGTACTGGGAATTGAACCCAGGGCCTGGCATACGCTAGGCAAGTGCTTTATCACTGAGCTACATCCCAGCCCTTTTAATTAATTATTTACTTAAATTTTGAGACAGGGTCTCCCTAAGTTCCTCACACTAGCCTTGAATTTGCTATTCCTCTTGCATCAGCCTCCTGAATAGCTGGGACTGCAGATATGTACAACCACACCCAGCTTTTACATTGTTTTGCATATTGTCTAGAGCAAGAGTTGGTAAACAGTGACTTCTAGACCAAATTCAGCCTGTCACTTTGTTGGGTAAATTTGTGAAAACATGTCATGCCCATATTTGTCTATGACTGCTTTCACCCTATAAGGGCAGAATCAAGTCTTGGCAGTGGAGACTCTAAAGCTCCAAAACTGGRTAATAGTATATGATTCTTCCCAGGAAAAAGTTACCAACTTGGTTAGTGGTTTGATGGGAGGTATTCATTCTGCTAGGGAGTTGAGATAAATCTTTAACAATTGTATGTTAGGTCAGAACAGACTAGTCACCTAAGGATTGGTGGGTGTGGCTTTCTGCACTAGACAGACTTCTAAAAAGTCAAATGTTTTATTTCGTATTTTAGACTGTGACAAAAGGTGTGGAGTCTCTCCTTGGTACAGATTGGATTCGTCACAAATTTACCAAATCAAGAATTCCAGATAAAGTAAGAACAATGCTACTGTTTCTTTCCTTCTTTTTTTTTTTTTTTTAAGTTCCATGTACTAAAAGGTACCTGTTTTGAAAGCTTTTATGTTAAGTCATATGTACAGAGTTTAAAATATAATAGTATTCATGTAAATTATGATTATTAAAAATAAAACTGTGTTCTGTTACTTGTGCCACTGGCCTTTGCAGGATGGGTTGTTTTGTTTTTCTGAGTGTTGTTCCTGCTTCTTAGGTTTTGGTTTTATTATTTTTTTTTCTTATTTGTTTATTTTTTGTATCATCGTTGTCCTGAGAAAATGGTCCTTCTTGCCCAGGCTCTCACAATGAGACTCTTCATCTTCACTTTCTATATCAGCCTTTGCTACTTTAAATCTTTCATTTTTTTCTATTAGATTTATATGTACTTATCATTCTTTAAAAAAAAAAAAAAAGCCCTTCATTGATTTTGGCTTTTGTTTTGTATTTTTSTTTGTTTTGCTTTTTAATTAATAGATGTTGTTGCATAAAGGAGTTTAGACTTATAGGAAAATTGATCAGAAAATAYAGAGACTTTCTTATATATTCCCTCCCCACAACGCACCTTTTCCCTTGATACTAACATCTTCCATTGGTATACAGTTGTTGCAACTGATGAAACTACATTGATACTTTGTTAACTAAAGCTCATAGTTTACACTCCTTATGTTGTTTACTTTATGGTCAAAGATACAATGTCATATATACATTATCACTGTATAGTACAGAATTTTTCACTGCCCTAAGTATCGCCTGTGCTCCACCTGCTCATCCCTTCTTCCCAACTCCCAAACCCTGGCAGCAACTGACCATTTTACTATGTTTGTTTTATCTTTTCCAGCATGTCTGTAGTTGGAATCATGCGGTGTGTAGCCTTTTCTAACTCACTTTTTTCACTTAGCAATGTAATTTAAGGTTCCTCCATGCCTTTTCATGGCTTAATAGCTTATATCTTCTTATTGCTGAATATTTCATGGTGTGGATTTATATAGTTTATTTGTATATTCACTTWCTAAAGGACATCTTGATTGCTTCCAGTTTTGACAATACTACAGGAAGTAGTACAAATACTCATGTGCAGGTCTTTGTGTGGACATAAGTGTCAACATTTTGGGTAAATGCTCAGGAGCATGGTTGCTAGATTTTATGGTAAAGACTGTATTTAGCTTTGTGAAACCTGGGGTTTTTTATTGGTTTGGATGGTTGGTTGGTTGGTTAGTTGGTTGGTTTGGGTTCTCCCATCCCCTGCATTGTTTTATAGTGGTAAAATACAGAGATAAAAAGTTACTGTCTTAACTGGCCCTTTTCAATTTCAGATTTCAGAGATTTTTGATTTTGGAATATTTACATAAACTTTTCTAATTGAGTACCCCAGTTTGCTTTGAGTKTGACAGATTCAGAGTATTTCAGATTTCAGATTTTTGGATGAATGGTGTTCAGCCWGTAGGGCTAATATGTTCTCTTGGCATTTGAATCGTTTAGTGTCATTTGGTTTCCTCAGGCTTTGTTCCCAGGGGTTAAACAACAAGACAAAATTCTTGCTTATGTGACATTTTTGTTAAAAGGATAAAAGTCTTAAACTCCCTTTTAGTAATCAGACTAAACTGGTAGAAATGTGCAGTTTCAGATTGAGGATTATATAAAGATTAAGGATGAGATCAGTATGGGGTGTGTGTGTGTGTGTGTGTGTGCGCGCGCATGCGTGCGTGCGTGTGTGTGTGTGTGTGTGTGTGTACACATGCTAGTGCAAGCATTTTTTAAGAAAAATGGGAGGTACATAGAAACTGTGTAAGTTCAAAGTTTACCATTTATAATTCTTCCTTTGTAGGTATTTCAGCCTTCACCAGCAGATCATGAAAAATATGGTGGGGATCCACAGCACCCTCATAAACTACACATCGTTACCAGAATAAAAAGTACAAAAAGACGTCCATACTGGGAAAAAGATACAATAAAGATGCTTGGATTAGAAAAAGTATGCAACTATTTTAGTCATCCTCAGTGTTGTTTAAATTTGCTTTACATTTCACACTTTTTAAAATTGTCTCTTGTTTTAATGTATTACTTAATGTAACTTGTTTGTAATTAACCTTCAGTTTAACATTTTCTAAAAACAGAGCTATTTGCTTTTTCAGTTGATTCATAACATTATTCCTTTGTTTGTAGGCACATACCCCTCAAGTTCATAAGAATATCCCTTCTGTGAATGCAAAACTGAAAGTGGTTAAACATTTGATAAGGTTTGTTGTTCATTATCTCAGCAGTTTTAAAAAATATGTTATCTAGTGTGATTCTAAATGCCTTTTCTTTTGTCACAGAATCCAGCCCCTGAAGCTGCCACAAGGACTTCCAACAGAAGAGAATATGTCTTCCACATGCCTCAAGAGCACTGGGGAGTTAGTAGTGCAGTGGCATCTAAAGCCTGTGGAGTAGGAAGCAGTTAAGTCCTGACACCATTGCAGCATCAGATTAAAAAGTGCAAATTATTTTTATTTAAAGTTGGTGAGAAAATGTTTTCATTAAAATCTTTAAAATGTATTTGAAATCCCAGTCTTCTCACTGACTGCTGATTCTTCCCTACCATATAGATTTATAAGTTTGCTTATTTAATGTTCTCCCTTTTCCCATAAGAATTTCACTCTAAAGTAGRTAAGATCAGCATTGTTGAATATCTAAATTTAGATCCTCTGACATCATAGCAATTAACTTATTTTTGTGTAGAAATTATTTTCTAATTTAACTGGATTCCTCAAATTCTTGAGTGACTCTATTTAGTCCACTTTATATTGCTATAACAAAATCTCTGACCTTAGTTTATAAGGAAGAGAGTTTTATTTTGGTTTCAAATACTGAAAAGTCCAAGCTTGGGCAGCCACACCTGTGAGGGCCTCCTACGGTGTCATAACAAGGCAGATGATATCGTATGATCTGAGCACATGGGAGAGTGGTAAGTGGTGGAGGAGCTTGCTGAGGAAGCCAAAATGACGTTAATGCTTTTGTGTAAGACRGATATTAATCCCTTCTGAGAAGTGACCCCATGACCCAGGCCCCTCCACTGAAGATCCCACCACCTCTTAAAGATCCTTTCACTTCTTAGTACCAGTACATTGGAGGCTAAGCTTTCAGCCCATGAACATTTGGGGAACCAACCATATCTAAACCATGACAAGCTCTTTGACTTCTGTGCTATGTATTGGGGAAATACAAAGGCATGAAACATGGGGTGTTTCTGGATCCAGTAATCCAGTGCCTCAGAGTCCATAAATTCAAGTGTGGACATAGATTCATGTTGTCCCTAATTTAATGCCAAAAAAAAAAATTTATTTTTTAATTATAAACCTGATGTGAGGCTAAGGCAGAAGGATCAAAAGTTCCAAGTTCAGTCTGAGTGAAACTTAGACCCTGTCTCAAAATAAAATCCAAAAAAGGGCTAAAAGTGTAGCTCCGTGGTAGAGCACTTGCAAAGTATGTGTGAGGCCCTGATCCCCAGCACTTTAAAACCATTTTTGAAAAATTAAATTTGGCTAAACTTTATTATTGCACTTGCATGGACAAAACATATTCAGCTATATGTAGCTATTTTCCTAACGGAACAGAGTATGAAGTAAAAACATTTAGAATTAATAAAAAATAGACTTCTGTTTTCAGTTTCAAAATGGATGTTCTTTGAATTTTTAAGAAACCTCTGTCTACAGTTGGGGTTGCTAGTTAAAAGAAGRAAAAAGAGGAAGAAATCTTTTAGGGAGAATTACTTTATTTCCTTCTATTTCTGACACCTGGAGGGGTGGAGAGAAGTAAATTGTAGGGGAGGGTCAATACGGGGGAAGCCTTGGGCAGCTCAGCAGCTCATTGAAGATAAGGAGCCTCTGTTCTAGTCACCCCTTATTCTCCTTTGTCTCTTGAACATCTGGCTCAAATAATGCCAGTGTGGGCATACTATTGTCCTCTAATGTAGAAGAAGGAATCTAAATGCTAAGTTGAATATTTAGTAATGCAGTTGTTTTGAAGGAAAAAATCTTTAGAGGAAAAATCTTTAGGGCTAGTGCATTCTTTTTCCTTTTCTTTTTTTATTTGTTCTTTTTAGATATACATGACAGTAGAGTGTATTTTAACAGATTTTATATATATATATATATATATATATAGAGAGAGAGAGAGAGAGAGAGAGAGAGAGATAACTTTCCATTCTAGTAGTTGTACATGATGAGGAGTTTCACTGGTCGTGTATCCATATACAACATAGGAAAGTTATGTCTGATTCATACTACTGTCTTATTCACATCTCTCCTCCCTTCCCTTCATTCCCCTTTCTCTACTCCACTGAAATTCTATTCTGCYCTCCCCTCTTATTGTGTGTTAACATCTGCATATCAGAGAAAACATTGGCTTATTTCACTTAGCATGATAGTCTCCAGATACATTCATTTACCAGCAAAAGTCATGAAGTCATTCTTCTTTATGGCTGAGTAACATTCCATTGTGTATAGATACCACATTTTCTTTATCCATTCATCTGTTGAAGGGTACCTAGGTTGGTTCYATTATTTAGCTATTGTGAATTGAGCTGCTATAAACATTGATGTGGCTGCATCACTGTAGTATGCTGATTTTAAGTCCWTTGGGTAAATACTGAGTGGGATAACTGGGTCAAATGGTGGTTCCATTCCAGGTTTTCTAAGGAACCTCCATGCTGCTTTCCAGAGTGGTTTTACCCATTAGTACATTTTGTTTTCTACTGCTGCATAATAAATTATCAAAAACTGCTGCTTGAAACAGCACACACTTGTTAACTTGAAATGTCTSTGGGTCTAAAGTGAGGACAGTTTGGCTGGGTCACTGTTCAGGATCTCACAGGCTGCAGAAAAATCTTTTTGCCAAGGTTGGGTATCTTCAGAGCTTGACTTTAGRGGATCTGTTCCAAGCTCCAGGGTTGTACAGTTCAATCCTTGTAGCTGTAGGATTGATGTCAAGTTGTTCCTTCAAAACCAGCAGCAGAGAGAGACTCACAAGAAGGGCACTATGAGGTCATAATTTACATACAGTCCCAAGGACCCATCACCTTTGTTGCATTCCATTAGCTGGGAGGAAATCACAGGTCCTGTCCTGGCTGGAGGAAGAAGGGAATTCCACAAGTATGGGGGCAGGGATCATGGAGGCCTCCTGACACCACAATTGCAATTCCCTTTCCAATCTAAAATTTGGATATATTTTATTATCAGTTAGTTTAAAATATTTTCTACTTAGATCTTCAGGTTATTTAGAAGTATGTTAATCTTCAAAATTGTGTGTCTTTCAGGCCAAAAACCTGTTCCCTTCACCTTTTCTCACTACAATGCTAAATAATATGCGTATTCTAAGTGGCACAGTTTCCCAAGGACAATGTAAAATTGCACAGGCCACATGTGTGAGGTCATTTTCCATCCCTGGTAAAGGAGGAGGAAGAAGAAACAGCAGCTTTTGACATGAACAAGATTGTTTCTGAAACCCCTGTGATGTTATTTGCCTTGTTTTTCTAGAAATGAGATAATTTGCTTAACATAGGTAGGAAGTATCCCTTCTTTCTCATATTCAAGGATTAGTTAAGTATTGGCTTTTGTTCCATAGCTTAGTTTCAGCTTGGTTGTTTTTGTCAGTTTTT